TCCCGAAAACAGGGAAATGAAACAGGTTATGGGCAGCAATATCTTCCTAATAATTACTCAAAAATAATAAAAAGAACTGAGGCTGCCAACCCACCCGCCAAGTTTGGTAAATAGGGCAAATATGAGACTACGTATTATAATAGATCAGTTTTCAGCAAAGTAATTAAGGAAAACAAAGAAAAATGCAGCTGCTATAATTTATAAATTATAAACTCTTTAATAAGAATACCCATTATCACAATATTTTTTCTCTAGAGCAACAGATGTTTCCTTGAAAACGCTTTAAGCAGGAAACATTTTCGAACAAAAATTTAGAGAAAATATATTCTTAGAAAATCATTACGTCTTCAGATAATTTATAAAACGCCAAAAATGGGTATAATGGGTATTTACTGCTATCGTTACAGGCTAATAAATTACACTCTTGAACATCCATAGCCATATTTTTTTTATTTTTACGTCTGCCTGTCTTGTGATAATGCATCTGCTTTTTTATTATTTATCGAAGACATATGCAGATCTCTTTGGGCTATTGCATTTACATACCATCAGGTGAACTGTGTGCTCATTAGTCATCCTTCTACTAGAAAAAAAGCATCTAAAAGACATCAAGTATCGGTTTATCACCCGCTCTCATAAGCTCTGCTATAATGCCATCGTCACCCGTCGCTTTGATGTTCTTAATTTGCTTTTCTTTTTTTTCCTTATTACAAGATAGTACTTAACCACAACCCCACCTGGTGGTAAGTGGTGATGTAGCGTTAGATGGTAAATCGCACTATCTTAGCTTAACAACAGCCTATTCACTCTTACCTTTAAGACGTCCGGATTGCATTCGGACGGAAAGGTAGATACCGGAAAATTATTCCACTACTTTGCTGTACGCATTACAAAGTAAACTGTTTGGTTCTAATGCGTAAATATCAGAATATCGACAACAAAGGAGTGAAGAACCGCCGATCGCCTGGTCGTCCGATAGTGGAAAAGAGAGGCAGGAATGAAAGCGTGCAATTTCTGCGCACACTCACCGAAATGCATCATATTGAATACCGAGAGGTTGACTAACCTAACTACGAGTAACCTTAGTTTTAACCAAACTGGAGAGCCATTTATTTCAATCTCACTTACAATGACGTCCGAGATATCATCGGAATAATGTCGGATGAGACTTGCCATTATGTCTTTACACACACTTGCGTACTGTTCTGGATCTGAACGATCAACGATGGTTATAGAACTTCATAAAATTTCTCGATATCTCTCATAATTTTCGGCACCCTGAATATTACGCACTGGTCTTCGCATAGATCTTTGGCGATGAATTTAGGGTCATGGTTTCATTTAATTGTTCCTTTAATACGGGCTATTTTGATGCTGCGTAAGTCAAATTCACATTCAATATATTTATTGTAAGTTAAGTGTTATACATTTAGTATAAATGTATAATATTACGTCTTATAACTACTTCCATTTTCGGGTATTACAATATTTGTAATATTTTATGCTTTTAAGATGTCTGTATGTTCAAAAGCCTGTAGAGATTTTGATATTTTTTTTAGAATTTCGAATTTCGGATATATTTCAAGTTCTGCTGCAGGTAATATTTGGTACCAACCGCATGTAAAGTTTCCATGGGCTCATCATAAATATCGTCTACATATTGCAATCATCTGATTTTGGATTAATTCACGAGGAAGTCGAAGCATTTTGCCTAATACCATACAAATATTAATGGAAAATTCCGAAAACTGCAATACATAATTTAAAATATACATAATTTATGAAACAGGAATAAAATAAAACAAAATTTATATTAGGAACTTGTTTATTTACATAATATTTACACGTAATTAGCTCAAAACCTAAATAACTAATTACGAAATGGCAACTTGAGCAAATCTTAAGGCCCGGTTATTAGTAAATTACTGATATTCAAAACAATTTCATGGACTCTAATAAAGTTTCCAAGACCCAAAAAAAATACATAACAAATTTAAGGATATGAGGTTTACGAATCTGCGGTTGAAAACATTATATTTCAAAAAATTTTCGATAGAAATTTTATCTAAACTTTAGTCTTTTGAGTTTTATTATTTTGTTTCATTTTCGAAATACCACGTAAATTACTATAAAAATTAAACTACAATATCCAAGCATATTTTTAACAAACAATTCTGCGGTTCGTTTTTTTAAAATTGTTATTTACTTTTTATAAATCTAAATAATATATAATCAAATGCAAGATCTGCTCACGCTAGTCGCCCGCCGGGCCTTGCCGAAGCAGGTCCTGTGTCTAATTTTCGCGCGCACCGCCGTTCCGATCTCGAAAATATTGATCGCGAGTAAGCTTAAGATTAAAGTTTTATATAAAAAAAACATTAATGTTAGTATGAATGAATACCTGTCGATTTATTTTCACTTTTTAATAAAAACAAATAAATTAAGAAATGCAACTTCACGTAAAAACAATAGTTTTATTTTTACTTTATATGTCACAGTATAAGTATAACAGTAAGACCACTGAATGTAGCAATTGTGACCTTTTTTTGTTTTCGGTGCAAAAGCACCACGGACCAAAGGCATATTTAGATCACAAAAAAAACCTCAATGAAAAGTGTGTTAGTGAAAAATGACATTTAAATACAAATTATTATTTTACTCATCTACATATTATACATTAGGTATATAAAATAATTGATCTTCGCCACATCCTGCACATGTATTTTATAAACACCGGTAAAAAGTACCTAATTAGTTAATATTATAAAATTTATTAAAAGTACCTATTAGTTAATCCTGGTCATATACTATCTGTGAACATCCAATTCGGTGCAGCGGTTTTGAAGGATATTAGGTAACAAACAAACATCCAAACTCTCCCATTTATAATATTGGCGTGATTAGTGACAGTGGCGCGGACAATGGAAATCCATTGTTCGCACCACTGTCAGCCAGCTTTATAGTTTAATAGGCTTTATAGGCCTTATAGTTTCTCTCATTACTTGCTGACAAGTGCTGTTTTAATAATTGGACAATGTATTTTTCAGACAACAGAGTAATTTGCCCAGCAGTAGCACAACTACACTGAATTCCAATGTACATAATATAACTAATTATGTGTAAGTAGCTATTTAAAAATAAAGAAGAAATATCGAAATTTAAAAAAAAATCGTTCTGCTATACAAATTGTCAGTCAAGTAACATATTTTGTTTGGGAGATCGATTTTTTTTTCTGATTTCGATATGGGTTTCTTTAGGAAAGTTGTTCAGTTTCACGGGTAGATGAACCCAAGGGGGTTCATCTACAATTTTAATTTATCTATTTTTCCCTGAATTTATTTTTCAGGCCAACTGAAGACAATAACGGTTCATACGCTATTGAGCCTAAAAAAGCAATGAAGAATTTCAGCATGTTCTAGGACGGCGATTCATTGATATTAATTACCTCTTAGAAGATTTACAATAAAAAAGCTTGTCATAATTAATTGTTTGGATTATTTATCGATCAAATTCATCCACGTATCGGTGCAACTCCGGACGGACTGGTAGGAGATGATATGCTAGTCGAGATAAAGTGTCCCATTACAGCTTCTAAAAAAAGGTCTTGAAAATTCAATTAAGGAAAACAAAATTCAAATTCTCAAATACGACAAAAAAATCAGGCACAGTGACCGTAAACAAGAAGACTACCTAGTAACTAGCACTACCAAATTCAGGGCCAGCTGCTTGTTACGGGTAGGAAAGTTTGTTTATTAGGAATTTGGTCAGGTGACAATGAAACAATTTTCACAAAATATATTGAAAAAGATGATGATTTTCGGAAAACTATGGAGCCAAAGTTAGTACTTTTTTTATAAAAATTGCTTACTCACAAAAATTGTTAACAGCAGATATGCACGTGGGATGGCGATCCGAGATCTAAAACTGGAATGTGACTCCATGTCTGTAATTGATGTACCAGACAAAGAAAATAACAGACCTGATTTATTCAGGACTGACCATCAAACGTCTAACGAGCCTGACAAAAATTTTGAAAGGATTCACCAACTCAGTATGGAAGAGTTTTAGAAATTGTTTCATAGTTGATTGATTGGTTAAGAGTAGTTTTAGAGCATTATTGTAATTATTTAACTTTGGATACTTACGCATTTGTAAAACTTACATAAAATTATTAAAAAGAAATTTAATTTAACATTTTATACGAAGTTTTTTTCTGAAATAATCGAAATCGGTAAAAAAACCAATATACGTATAAATTTAATACAACATCATACAAAATATTAACTAAAGAAGTAATTTGTAACTACTCAATACAAACTAAAAACAGTTCAAATCATAAGAAGTGGTCCTACTGCGAACTATTTTGTACTGTGATCTGTAGTAGCACGGTGCCGGGATCAAGTGAGTTCATTTTTTTGGGGTGTTTGCGTTGTTTATTACGCGCGCGCTGGAGATGCGCTAAATACCTAAAGCGTCAGTATAAGAGCGCCTTAAGTAGATTTTTTATTATGCATAATGATATGTTATCTTAAGAAATGTATTTATGATCTATAAATTGTATGCATTCTGTTAGTACGTTACCAAACGACATCGTAGGCAAAAAAATAAATTCACGAAACTATTGCAATATCATACAGGTCGAAGGGAACTACGTATATAATTATAATGGTTATGATGACTTTATTTTGTGTCCAATAAAATCCAATTAATATCGCTTAATGGGCCCAATTTTCCAAATACCTAGTAACGCACATTTTATATTTGCTTCTGTCTATATAAAGTGTAAAACACATCTAACAATCATTTTTGTCACCAAAAAGGAATGTAACGTATCTTCTTTGGAATGATAAAACGACACAAAACGAACAAAACGAATTAAATGCATAAAGAAATTATTTAATTTATCACAAAATTTGCCCTGTATATGTTTTGACATAAAAATCGAAAATTAATTTTTAAAGATCGATCTTAAACCTTAACATAGAAAAACGAGTTTACCGCTACAAGTGTAATCCGTCGTCAGATTCGCTGTCACTTGAATACTTGATTGCTTTATGTATTTCTTCTTCAATCTCTAGGGCACTTTGTTGCTTTTCATCGCTGGCTAATTTGTTATAAGCGACTTTTATGTTAGAATTATAGTTATTTCTATTACACACGCCGTATCTTTTAACAACATACGATATTAAGATATATAACATTACAGCACTAAAAGCTAAGGACATAATTGCTAAGGCGATATTAATTTTATAATGCCACTCAGCGTTAGTAATCTGTGGTACCACTGCCTTTGGATAACAGTATAACTTTAACTCAACATCAGTCACATTGTATAGTTGAGCATCATCTAAACATGATAAGCACTGGCTGTTATGAGGTCCAGAACAAGTAGCGCACGTATAATGGCATGGTAAACAAATTAGTGGCGCTTTATTTTTCGCATCCGATAGAGGTTCCATATCAAGGGCCTCGTTAGCAACGGGCGCCGGAGTATTGGCACCTTGTCGTTTAATAAGACCAGCAGCACCAGCTTTTTCAGAGAAATAAGTAAGATTTCGCCGTCTTGAGCTTCTTTCCGTCAAAATCTCGCTGGCGTATGTACCATCCGGACAATGTTTGTAGCATCGACCGTCGTACAAGTGCAAACCCTTCGCGCATTCTAGTGAGAGAGAACAAAGTATTTTAATTACGATAGTAAATAAAAAACAGTCCGACACCACCCAGCACCATGTCCAGCGTCCATGCATGTTGCCATCTCTTGCCAGCAGACCAAATGATGCAGAAGATGCACCTCGGAGGTACGAAGTCATAACGTAGTTGTCAATGATTAAGGATTTGGAAAAAAAGGAAAGTAAGTAGAATCTCGTCACTGATCTCAAATAACTTTGTCTTGGCGTTAAGAACAGCTGATGTTTTGTCATATGATTAAGGTGCAAACGTGAAGATTTAATGCATGCTGTGAGTGCACAAACTTAAATGAAATCAGAAACAGTAAAAGTTCTACGATTAGAATGATTAAGACATATTTTAAAGAAAAACGAACAATTCATTAAGTGTCATTGTTAATGAAAATGCAACTAATGAATAATTGCGGTTAGAATGCGTTTGTAAGAATTGTTAGAAACAGAATTAATAAGCAGTAGTAAGCGAAGCATCACGCAAAACACAAAACGACGTAACATCACAATATCATGTAGTAATTACTTCAAAAACGCAAAATTATTATTACAAATATAAAAAAGACCGACATTTAACTATTTAACTATATACCTTGATCAGAGACAAGACTCGACTTATAATAAAATGATTATTTTGTAGGAAACATTTTTATTATTTTCCTTTCACATCAGGTTCGATATATACAAATAATTCTTTATTTAACATTTACAATAATAAATACATTTTACTAAGCGGCTATTCCATGTCGATCTCGAATAACATATTTAAACTTAAATGATAAATCTGTTATAAAAATGAGCTCAAGACATTTCACGCATCATTTGAAATCAACATCAAATATAAGAAATGCTGAAAAATATATCAAGCATTTCTTACATGATGATAATCTACAATATTTAAAACACACGTTACATCAATTTACATACAGTGAAAAATAAATTTACCTAGCAGTCAATGAGAAAATTATGATCGTTCAGTCATTTCGAACATATTTGTGAGCAAATTTGTACAAGTCTCCAAATTTATTTTTACCCATATATTTATGAAAGACCTATTTACTTATATATACACATTTAAAGTACATCATATTTCTGGATTGGTAATCACCGCTATGATCACAACCACAAAATACAATAAAGTTTAATTTTTAACTTTTATAACATACAGATTTTTGAGTGAATACATTTTGCAGTCTGATTCAAATTCAATGTGACAGCTCTAACCACAGATTTAAAAGGTTAAAGAACGACTAGCTCTTTTAGTGGCATCAAATTATGCAAATATTTATTAATGAATAATTTCAAATATCTAACACAATCTAATTATGGTGGTAATTATGGTACTATTCGCTATATAAACACTACCATAAAAATGAAATAAATATTTTTATAAATCAAATTAACTGAGAAAGAAAACAAGAATTAAATCTGTCACATAGAAAATACCACAATAATAGACTCCTATTACATTGAATTGAGTTTCTTCTAATAACTTATTTTCACGTAACTTAAAATAATAGATATGTGTATCATTATAACTACGTTTACAAATATTCCAGTAACGGCGACTATTCCAGTTTCATTTTTTTTATTTAATTTCGCCACGCTTAAATATTAATATTAAACCTTGTGGTTCAAAATATGTTTCTTTTTTTAATAAGTTATAACTGGAATTATCACCAAAACGTCTTAAACTAATACCACTACATCTAAATAATTATATTCTTTTTTTATATTTCCAATAAATAATTTGTTAGGAAAACCAAATAACAAATAAATGCTTAATATTTTGGCATAAGTTTAAGGTTAAGAAGCTTATTTTTAGGGCGAATAAAAGTACTCGTTAGGATGTCATATGGAAGCGATTGTATGCATATAATATACCATAATTGTTATTAATGAATCAATATTGTAGGTTTAAAATAAACTTTATTATCAACGGTCAACAAAATGCCAGCAGCATAACAATGAACTGAAAAAATAACAGACTTAAGTACTGCGAGGACAGATAAAACAAAATGCACCTGTGTTACTGGAGCAGCATATTACATTTTGACTGCATTATTATAAAACTCACAAGTGTACCTCCATCTCTCACCACTCCTCCATTTTATTGATCTCAAATTTACGTTGCAATTACCTTATTAAAATGGACGTTATCGTTTTTTTAGATTTTATTATTATTGTAATTGCACTTATTCTTCATCTACTTAATCTGTCAATAAATAGAATTATTACGTGCTACAAATTGGTAGTTGAACATTAAGCTAGTATCCAAATTTAAATGTCACAATAACTTACGAATATCATTTTTAAAGTGAACACCGGCTTCAGTAGTATAAAATTCCAGAATATAAAGTCCGGACGTTGAGCACTTCTATTAGTGCGGCATACTAATATTATATAACTTTATAAAATTACGTACATATATTTGTATATATATTTCTAACAAAACCATGGCCCAGAAATTCCTGCCGAAATTATATATTATGCATATTACTAGTTTATTATGCAGTGAATTACCCGAATATACAACGAATATTAGAAATTTCTGAACCATGCGGCTATTATGCGTAAGGGTTCTAACATTTATCATTAATACTAAAATCTTCTACAGTACGACTCTCTCGTAAATTGAGTCTTTGTATATTCACAACTACCTAAAATAATGAACGTATAATTTGAAGAACCGATTAAAATAATTGTTGGTTAGTTACTATAGTTCGTGCCAAATCGATTGAGAAAAACGGACGATGACCTCAGATTTGAGCCGAGTGACAAAAGGCGTACTTTGCAAAATCTCAATTTAGATATGATAACAATATTTAAAATTTGATATTATTCACACTTCTAGGTCAACACATATGTTTTTTTTTGTTTATAAATAATATTGTCTGTGGTTCCTATAAACAGCGTAAAATCTTACGGTACATGGCGAAAAATGTGTTATATTTTATATTTCAATTTATGGTATGTAACGCAGTAATTCATTTAATAATAGCTACATATTAAAAAATATTTGAAGCAATATAATCACCATATTGAGCTTTTGCAAATTAATCCCTTTAAAATAAACAAAAAGCGCATTACGTCAGTTCGTTCTAAAAGAAACGTGATAATGGCAGCCAGAGATGCGTCACTTTATGGGCCGGCCCACACGCGACGAATAAAAATAAAGTTCTTATATAATATTGAAAATAAAGTTTTGTCTTTTGAATAAGTACGTACTTATTCGGTGTCTTTATCACTCGAATCTTTATATGTGTTATAAATTAATGCTTTTTGTTGTTAAATGAATAAAGTACTTTATAATAATAGATGATTTTTCTTCTACAGCGATCTTTTACATAACTTTTTAATAATAGTTAATAAATATATATTATATCAATCATAATAAAAAATCATTATCAATAAAGAAAGTACTACATATAAAAAGTGCCTATATATTGAAGGTTTGTAGCCCCTCGTTAAACGAACGAAAGGTCAATGTCCGTTTTTCTCAATCGATTTGGCACGAACTATAAAACTTTCATGTTTTGTGGTGGTGAAGATAATGCCGTTAACACACTGATCAGGACTCGTCAAAGCACCTAACAATAACGCTTATAACGGACTGTTAACGCTAAAGGTATAGAATAAAAACATGTGTATGTTAAAATATACATCAATCAGCTTGTACTTATTGATATTCGCACATATTAAAAATAAACTAAGATCACAATAATATTGGCACTAGCGTACCGCAAACGAGGCATTCGGATCTTGTAAGCATGGCGCTCGCGCGGGCCTAGCGTTAGATTCCGCCGTGAGCTCCGTCAGCCCCAAACTGATACAAGCGGTTAGTGCATTGTCACGCACCCTACTTCTACCGGGATTTTTATTTTGTGGCGTGACGTTAGCTAGGCGCAAAGCTTCGACCGCCCATACTAGCAGCAGGAGGACAAGGCACAAACCTAAGCAGTGGTGAGGAGATTGTGGGGCACGCGTGGCACAACCGGCTGCTGCACTGGTTCTACTAGCTGAACCGGATGAACCGGATGAGCCCAGCAAGCCTTCTTCACGGATCTGGAAAGTGGCAGGGGCGTTAATAAAACTCGAAAAGCATAACAACGGTAATTCCTAGAAACATCTTGAGTCGTAATTAAACTAAGTATTAAAAAATCTCCTCAAATTATAAGTTATAAAGGGATACATAAATAAATAAAAATAAATATAAAAAACAAACAAAATATACCATCGCATTAATTACTGCACCCATGTTTAAATACATGGGTTTTTTTATAACTATTTTTTTATAACTATTTAAACATGCATAGATTAAAGAATCTTGCATTTGAGTTGTCCATTTACCTCACGTGTAATTAAAGAAATGAAAACTGAAATTAACGTATTCTTAAAGCACGGCCGTGAGTAGGTGAAGATCTTTTATGTTAGTTCTATGTTGAATTCTGTAGCACAGTGTTGTCATGTTATATTTTTATGTTAAATTATAAACATTAATAATATTATAAATTTGTAACTAGCTGCCCACTCTGGCATCGCCTGTGTTATATTAAAATGTCATCTTACATTTAATCGTTCAGATTTTTGAAGATAACCATCAACAAGCGTTTATTTTATAAATTTTTCGCTTCAATAAAAAGTCCTCGAGTTCTTCGGTTTAAATGTAGCCAAGATCAATCCGTACATTGCTCTGTATCTGTATGTGATGTTTCATCACAATCGATTAGCCCGCATGGACACGCAGACATACAAAAATCTTAAATTTGTTATTTATGTCTTACTGGTATACAAATAAACTTCTAAACTTAATAAAAACAGTTATTTCGATATAACAGACAGACGCTTTATATAGATGTATAAATCTTCTACACAGTATATATTATCCACATTGTTCTGTTACTTGCATTGTTTAATATACAAACGATATTCTAATTATTATTAAAGGTTATATACTTAGTAAAATGTTTAGATCAAGTTTAATAAAGGCCACAAATAATATTATAAACGACTAGATAAAATGCTTCTAACATTTTGAGGTAAACAATGATACTAAAAATATATTCATTATTAGATAAGCATTGTTTACACAAACAAGGTTTTAGTACATGTATTAAAACATAATAACTGAATTTAAAATATACTTCGTACCAAAATTCTAAAGCTTCTCCCAGTTCTTATTCAGGACAATTGGAAAATCTATTTTGAGTAAAAATAAGACATTAGAAACAATTACTTTTAAAAGTTAAAACGATCTTATTATGCTAGTTATCCTATTATGGCGGGTTTATAATGTTGGATAATAATTATTATTTTAATAAAAAAGAAGGTTCACCTACTTCTTGATTATTCGTTATTTAGAAAAACGTATTTAATTTTTTGCATGTTTCTATTCGTTTTTATTAGATCTTTACCTATGAAATTTCCGTTCTGTATGGGAAAATAGAAATATTTTTTCAATAAAATTGTTACGCGCTTTAGGGTTTGTGTTGTTGATCCAGATCTATCTACGTGATAAAAGTTTGCTTCTTTATATATATATATATATATATATATATATATATATATATATATATGCGCTTCTATTATCGCCTTTAATTCCTCATTAAGAACCTCCTTCTTAAGGTAAACGATGTTTGTGTGATCATATTTACGATGAGCCACTAAACAAATGACGTTCAGTTCGCTATTGGTTTGCTTCGTTAGTAGAGCTAGGTTCCTATACTTCATACATATTACGTACCGTCAACTATTATATATTCGAATATACTTAAAAAGTAACGCGAATATTTTTACAGCCCATGGTAATAAAAATAGTGATATTGTAGAGAAAATACAAGAAAATCTATTGCCTTTAAATAATCATAAATGCAAAGTAATTGTTACGGATCGCCGTAACGCCGTTCGAAAAATGAATAAAACGCGTTGTTCTTGCTTATATAGAAGGCAAGCGGCGGTGAGGAGGAACTTGTACTTTTTTCTTCTTGTAGTGCCTTTTCAGTGGCTGGAGAGCGACGACGGACCCTACCGGCCGGTCCGTCTTTTATATGATTCGGCCGCTGCTGGCCAGCGGACCCTTGCCTCACCCCCCGCGCCTTTCTTTATTTCTTTAAAACTCTTATTTATTAACAAACATATTTAACTATATAATATTCTTACATCTATTTCTTATACTATTATGTACACAACAATTATCTTATACTCTAAAAGGTTTTAAACCTAAGTATGTATCTCGTCGCTTGACGTCGATCCCTCTGGTAGCACGACGATCTTCTTTGTTGGTTTGCGTAGTACATGCCCACTGCTAGTGGTTACGTCCACTACTCGTACCTCTCCGTCGACGCCAGGATATACGTTGCTTATTTTTCCCCTGGGCCAGATGTTGCGCGGTAGATTGGAGTCACAAATAATAACCAGGTCTCCAATCTTTGGCGATGCGCCTATGCTGCTGGGCTCCCGCCGGTGTTGGAGTAGGGGCAGGTATTCCTTTACCCATCTTCGCCAAAACACGTCGGCTAGGGCTTGAGCTCGTTTCCACTGCTGGCGGGCCGTCACGTCGCTCTCGCTGAAGTGTCCCGGTGCAGGTACGTGTGAGTTGGGACCGATGAGGATGTGATTCGGCGTGATGGCTTCCGGGTCTCCTGGGTCAACTGAGACGTGTGTCAGAGGTCTTGAGTTGACCGTGTTTTCGACCTCGGCGAGCAGGGTCACGAGTGTCTCGTCACTGGGATAGCTTTCGTTGAGGGTGACGCGTAGGGCTTCTTTCACGGAGCGAACCATTCGCTCCCAGGCGCCGCCCATGAATGGTGCTGATGGTGGTATGTACTTCCACACAATTTGTCGACATGTGGTCTCGTTCTCGAGGGCTGCGAGTGCTGCTTCGGCCAGCCCCTTGTCGGCTGCCTTGAAACACGTAGCGTTGTCACTCCAGATTTCTTTTGGGCATCCTCTTCTGCTCATAAAACGCCTAAGCGCTGACACAGCTGAGTCGGCGCTTAACGAGTGGGCCACCTCTATATGTATTGCTCGTGACGTCATGCAGGTAAATAACGCGCCATAGCGTTTTTCACGATGTCGTCCCACTGTGACTTCTATTGGCCCGAAGTAGTCCAGTCCGGTGTATGTGAACGGACGTGCGTGATGAGCGAGACGCGCGGACGGCAGGTTTCCTGTAGACGGTGATGCAGGCTTGGCTTTTCTTAGACGGCACGGTAGGCAGCTTTTGATGACAGTTTTTACTACTGGACGTATTTTTCTTATGTACAGTCTCTGTCTTAATTCGTTCACGACTGTTTCCACTCCTCCGTGATGCAACCTCTCGTGTACGTGTGCTATGTACAGACGAGTATATGCGTGCTTCCCGTCTAGTATGGGAGGGTCGTACATGTCCTCCTCTACTTCTGATGCTGCTTTTATTCGACCTCTGAGGCGTAGGGTCCCTTCTTCGTCGACGTATGTGCTCAGGTGGCCTAGTTTGTCGTCGCCTCCTGGAACACTTCTGTTGGCGATCCTTTTGAGCTCCTTCATGAAGCTTTCCCGCTGACTGGCTTGCACCCACAGTTGTTCGGCTCTTATATGATAAGCGGCTGGTATTCCTACAAGCAATGAGACAGTAGGTGTTGCCCTTTTCTCCTTGGTGGGGGTGTTGCGTCGGTTTGTTCTTTGCCAGCCGGGGTCGCTATCTTGTCTTGCTTTGTTGCGTTTGCGCCCAGCCTTCACCACGTGCTTGTTTGGTCTGCACATGTCGATGAATAGGAGGACTCTCGCTGTCGCCCTTATGAGGCGAATCCATTTTGAAAATCTTTCTATTTGTGGCAGATGTGTTGTTGGCGAGTCTTCATTTTTAACTGTGATGTTACATATTTCTCGTTCTTCTCCGGTGTCGTATTGTGTCGTTTTCTCCTCCTGCGGCCATTCGGCCGGTGGACGTTGTAGAAACGGGGGCCCTCGGAACCACCGGTGCGACTCGTCGAACCTTTCTGGTGTGGTTCGGGTCGCGTCGTCTGCCACGTTTTCTTTAGATGGTAGCCAACGCCATTCGTTCTTTTTGGTCGTATCTTCTATCTCCGCCAGGCGATGAGCGACGAAAGCTTTGTACGCGCGGGGCTCCGACCTTATCCACACTAGTGCAGTACGAGAGTCGCACCAGTATGTCTTGCCCGCTATATCGTCATCGTGCTCACTGATCACGGTCTGCGCAAGACGAGCTCCCAGTATTGCTGCTTGTAAGTCGAGCCGTGGTATGGAGACTGGTTTCAGTGGTGTCACGCGGCTCTTGGCGGCGGCCAATGATATGTTAACGCTGCCGTCTGCTCGTTCCGTTCTCCAATACACGGCGGCTGCGTAGGCCTCCTCGCTTGCGTCGACGAACGTGTGTAGTTGCCGCGTCGACACTGGGTTGTAATCGTAGCATCGCGGTATTCTCAGTTGTTCTAGGGCGTGAAGTGAAGTAATCCAGTCTTCCCATTTTTCTTTTAACTCTATTAGCAGAGGGTCGTCCCATTCCGCCTTGTAACGCCATGTGTCTTGGAATATTCTCTTCGCTGGGGTAGTCACTGGTGATATTAACCCCAGGGGGTCAAATAATGCCATTATTATGCTCAGCGCTTCACGTTTAGTTGGCAAGCGTTGTTTCACTTTTACGTCGATTGGCATCTTCATATTGTTTGTATTAAATCCAATATGATCGCTTTGTACATGCCAGAGCAGGCCGAGCGTCTTCTCAGTTTCTTTTCCGCCCAGGCGCACGGTCGCGTCGTGTTGTTTATGCTCTGTCGTTATTTCTTCTATTGTTTTTTCTTCGTTCGATGTCCACCCGCTGAGTACGAATCCCGCTTGTTTGTGGACGTGATCGACTGCTTTTACAGTTTGCTGAGCTTCCGTGATAGAGTGGAAGCTCTGCAAGTAGTCGTCCATATAGTGATTTCTTTTTATGGCGACCGCAGCTTCGGGGTATGCCTTTGAATGTTCTTCAGCATTTTTATTTTTGATGTATAATGCTGTGCATGGTGATGATGTCGCTCCAAAGATGATCGATGTCGTCGTATATTCCTCCGGTTGGCCCTCCCGCCGCTTGCCTCTCCACAAGAAACGTAAAACGTCTCTATCTTCTTTGCGCACTTTGATCTGCATAAACATTTCTTTTATGTCGGCGCTCACTGCATACGGATACTGTCGGAACCTCATGATTACTCCGGGCAATGATTGTAATAAGTCCGGCCCCGAGTGAAGCATATCGTTGAGACATATTCCTGCTGTCTTCGCGGCGGCGTCGTGTACCAATCTCGGCGGCTTGTTAGGTTTCGCAGGGTTGATGACTGGGAAGTGTGGCAGATACCATGTCTTTCCTTGTGGCGGTGGCATGGGCGCGCGCTCTGCGTAACCCGAGTTGAAGAGGTTCTGTATGCGTTCTTCGTACTGTAGCTTGAGATTGCTGTCTCGGTCGAGCCTCTTCTCTAAAGTGTGCAGACGTCTTTCCGCGTCTTTGTAATTATTTGGTATTTGGAAATCCTTTTCTTTCCACAGCAACCCTGTCTCGAATTTGCCGTCCGCCGACCTCCTGCTGGTCTCCCTCAATATTTGCATAGCTCGCTGCTCGGGATCTTCTTTAGGTCTCCTTGGCTCGATGCACAGTGATTCTAATTTGAAATAATTCTTTATTTCTTCTTCTATTGGCTGTGCCTCTTCCCTTTGATGTAGTCTGCCGCAGAAGGTGACCGTCGATGTCAATGAGCTATGACAGCCATGCAGAACCCAGCCCAGGTTGGTGTATGAGGCGACTGGTTGATCTCGACGACCGACGCGCAGTTTTCTAGACACTATGAGGTGCCAGTTATCTTGCCCGATTAGTATTTTCGGTGAGGCGCGTTCGTAGGTGATATCCTCTTTGATATCTAGCAGATGTTGGCAATTCTCCAAGTGATTTTCATTCACGGATTCTGGCGCGAAGTCCAACCGCTCTACCGTACGCGCTGCTTCTATGTTGTGTTCCTCTTGCGCGTGCTTTCCTCTTATTTTAAGGCTGACGATCTTGCTCTTCTCATGTTTCACTTCCGAGCCAACCCCTTGTATCCACATTGCGTGGGCTGGGCCGTCGGCGCCGATGACGTCAGCGATCGAGGCATCGACTAAGGTGACCGTGCTTCCTTCATCCAATAATGCGTATGTTTCGACGCAGCTTAGCGGCCCCTTTATTGTTACGGGCGCAATCTTTGAGTAGGCGCGGCGGTGTTTGTATGGTCGAGTCGTTGTGATGACCTCCCTTGCCGATGTTGCGGTTTCCATAGTGGGTTCTTTTTCAGTTTCTGCTTTTCTGTCGTGATGCAGCAATTTATGGTGTTTCATCATGCATCCGCCTTTTCCGCACGGTGGAGCTTTACACAGCAATCGGCGATGTTTGCCTCGCAGACAGCGATAGCAGATATTATACTTCTTCGCTACTTCCCATCTGTCATTTGTGGGCAGAGCGGCGTATGACTTGCAATCGGTCAGTTTGTGTTCTTGTTTGCATTGAGGGCAGCGTTCTTCATATTGTTTCTTGCTTGTGGCGAAGGCGCGTTCTATTTTTCTCGGCCTTCGCTCTCTCGGTTCGTTGTCCTCCGTGATGAATTCCGGCAAGGCATACGCGCTGCATTTATCCGCTTCTTCGTTTAAGAAGATTGATATTTTCTTAAGCTCTGGGATATCTTCTTTCTTCCTGGCTGCATAGTCGTACCATTTGCTTTTCAATATGGGCGTGAGTTTGTCTGTGATAACTCGCGTCATCTCCGGACTATGCAGATAGTGTGCTTTCTTGAGTGCTTCCACGGTGCCCACTACGTTTGCTATGCGATTGGCGAATATGCATAACTCCCTGGGATTGTCCGTAACTTTGTTCAGCAGCTTCAGCTTCTCTATTTCTAAGTGAATTAATGCTTCTGGTCGTCCGAATCTCCTTTCCAAAGCTTCTATTATTATTCTGGGGTCTGATTGGCTTATAAGTAGGCAGCTTGCGGCCTCTTTTGCTATCCCTTTTAAGCTTCGGCGTATTCTCGCTATGTTTTCGTTCATCGTGAAGTACTTTGAAGATTCTTCGTACGTTGTTTTGAAGCTGAGCCATTCTTTGCTGCTACCATTGAATGTGGGCAGCTCTTGCAAATATTTCGGCGGCTCCCTTGTGCTTCGTACTGCTTGTGATAGAGCAGCGGCTAAGGTAGCGACGTCGATTTGTTGCTGCGCCTGTCCATAGTCTTCTTTCTGCGGCGCGGTATGTTGTGGAACGTATTGCGGTGCATACTGTTGAAGTACGGGTGGTGCGATCTGCGGTGCTGGTTGCGACGCGAAGTACGACGTGGGTTGCGGCGCGGGCTGCGGCGCGGGTTGTGTTGCAGACTGCGGAGCGGGTTGCGATGCGAAGTGCGACGTGGGTTGTGGTGCAGGTTGTGGCGCGGGTTGCGGCGCGGGTTGTGATGTAGGTTTTTCTTGCAACCGTGTACTAATGCGCACTGATGCTAAGTCGTCTTCTATTTCTTCCTCTTCGTCCTCGGTTGATCCGGCTTCTGCTTGTAGTCGCTGCACGTGTATTTCTTGCAATTCCGTTCTTGCTTGCAATCGGGCCTGCTCGAGCTTGAGTTCGGCTAACCGCTCTTTCGCCTCTAACTCCGCGAGGAGTCTCTTGCGTGAGACTACGGAGCGGCGTGACCTAGTCTCGCCCGGCTTTAATGTGCGCTGCGATCTTTGATCACTCTCTTGCTGGGTTTCTTCCGTTGCAGTCGTTTTATCGGTCGCAGAGGTAGCGGTTGTATCGCTGCCCGTTGTGGTTTCGCTAGTGGTGTTTGATGAGCCACTAGCGGCTGAGTCGCCCCCGGAGGCCTCTTCCGTGGCCCCCTGGGTTATCTGTTCATCCTTACGACGCTTCGATGATTCTCCGCTGTTACTACGCGTAATCACCATTTTTCTTCAAAATAATATTTTTTCGTTCTTGCGGTTTGCTTCTTAATTCGGCTCTTCGAAGGACCATTAATGTTACGGATCGCCGTAACGCCGTTCGAAAAATGAATAAAACGCGTTGTTCTTGCTTATATAGGAGGCAAGCGGCGGTGAGGAGGAACTTGTACTTTTTTCTTCTTGTAGTGCCTTTTCAGTGGCTGGAGAGCGACGACGGACCCTACCGGCCGGTCCGTCTTTTATATGATTCGGCCGCTGCTGGCCAGCGGACCCTTGCCTCACCCCCGCGCCTTTCTTTATTTCTTTAAAACTCTTATTTATTAACAAACATATTTAACTATATAATATTCTTACATCTATTTCTTATACTATTATGTACACAATAATTATCTTATACTCTAAAAGGTTTTAAACCTTGTAATTTACAATTTTTAAGCTGAGAACCCTGCCCCGCATCTCAGCACTATAAATATAAAACGTCGTGGCGCCCTACACGTAGCTTCATTAGCTCCGCGGCCGCGTCACGATAACATGCCCTGATAATGTTACAATTATCTTTTTCTTACAAGAAAGGTAATTTATATGAATGGTAATATGTAAAAAAGGTAATATACAATAAAGGTGATATGCAACAAAGGTATATTAACTATAAGAGTACAATTTACATTTTAAAATCTATGCTAACTCTCGTTATTTATTCGATGCCTTTATTGGGAGAGTTATTGCATAGTTACAACATCATTCTTTTTTATTATCTAATATAAGTTATACATGTTTAACAAAATAAATACAATAATCAAGACTACGGCTGTTTTTCTGTGTTGTATGCACCCTCGCTCGTTGTCGAACCTCGCTGGTCGCGACCCCCGTGGCTCCGCCCACCGCCCCTGAGTTGCTCAACCAGTGCTGGTTACACTAAGCAGGTATCTCGTCGCTTGCGTCGTGCATAGTAATTACTTTCACTCGAAAACCTAGACCAATTGTAAATTTCTATAGCCTACTTGACGCTCCCCTGGAAAAAGTAAACGACATTCGAGACCTTGGGCTGTTATTTGATTCCAAATTAGACTTTCATCTACACATGACAGATATCTGTAAGAACGCACATAGAATATTAGGTTTTCATAATGATTTCTTAAATTTACGCGAACACTACACATTGAATAAAACGCTTTTATCGCGTTTAATTACTTTAATTTGTTTTTACTATGCCGACGTTTCGGGTGCTTTACAGCACCCATGGTCACGGGAGGGGGGGACTGAGATGTTTGACGTCCCAATGTCATAGTTAGTCCGGCTACCTTCAGTTTTTGAATATTAATTTTTAGTCTAATTTACGCAAAACGAGCTTATAGTCTTGTAGTGGTATGCTTGGGTTTGCAAACCCAAGCATAGGTACCACTGCAATAATAGTTTTATTCAATATTAGGTTTTGTTACTAGGACTGGAACACAATTAAATTATGAAGTAATTACTTGTTTTTTTTTTCTCAAAGTCAATAGACATCTAGGTAAGTCTTTAGTTCAAAGCAGCCAACAAAACGGTAATTTCAAAGGTGTAAATATATTGAGTTACGTTTGTTAATATATAATTTTTATAAGTATAATAGCTTACCGCATGGGAATCGTGCCACACTAAGGCCAGTTCATCATCAATAGCGTTTTGTCTAATTTCCTCTGAGTCGGGTACACTTGAGCCTCCCCAAGCACCCTTCGCTGGTCCGGTTCCTGTGACTGTTCCCGATCCTGTTCCCGAACTCGTACCCAACGAGTTATTCTCTGGAGATGCATCATAATCTTGTGCCGGTGTTTCTGTTCCGTAAAAAATCAGCTCCCATTGCGTTAAAGGCCCAGCTGTACAATAACGAAATTATTCAATTTGTAAAGTGACTTATTTATATGTTCGAGAGTAAATAACTAAAATAAAAACTAAAGTATATTTTTTGAAGCTCTTTTGTTATATTGAGTAAATATAGCTTTAGAATATAAGTTAAAAAGTTGTGATCAAATATTTTAGTATTTTGCTATTAAAATTGGAAATGATTAGTATTCAATCATATATGAAGTATATTATTTATTAATGAGGATATATCGCGTGTCAGTCGCCTTTCATTGTTGGTATTGGTTAACCAAGAAACATATTATAAAAATATTTATATTACAAATAGCATTTCTTAAATTAGTCAGATTTGGTTTTGTGATCATTAGTTACTACTCAAAGACGGTTTTACCGCGTATCAGCTGTATATCGTGGGCCAGAGATGATGTCTATGTATGGGCCTTAAAACACGTTAAGCCTCTTGACAGTCATTTTTCTAAACTGATACTTAACATAAAACTGGCATACTTTAACCATTTCTCTGCCCCATAAACCATATACTCGATTGTTTAATTATAGTATCTTATCGGGAACAGTGAAACTGTTAAACCCCTTATAAATATGTGCAAAATCATAGTTTTAATCTGACAAGTACCTAACTGATATAGAATTAAAAACATATATTTATCATTAAGGTAACATAATGTGTACATACTGATGTTCAAAATTGTGTTTATCAGGCTGGCATTAAAATATAAAAAATTTAATACACAAATTCGTTGCAACAGCAAGCTTTGAAAACATAAAAAATATAGGTGTATAAAAATATTGTGAGAACAAAAAAATCTAATCTATCTAACAAATTCGTTTCAGTTTACTACTATCAAGGTTTAAAGCGGTGAAAATGAACTCAAATCAAATACGTCGCTATTAACGGAACTAAAGAAAAATATCGATGAAAATATCGCATTAAAATAATTCTTGCAAACACGGCATGCAAACAGTGGCGACATTGTGACAGACGTGCAGGCTCAAACTAGACGGCGTATTGAAACGACGCACACAGCGCATGCATTGAGTACCGTTGGCTTGCAGTGGAGCTGGGTATATGCGTTGAATTTTCGGATATTGTTCGAATAGACTGGACATCTTGCGTCCTCTAGCATCCGCCAGGGGATCAGTTATATCTCCTTGCAAATTAAGACTAAGATTTGGTGCTGGAGACGTTGTCGACCTCGTTGTCGTTATTTCTATTGGAGAACGCGTCGCCTGATGACTCTGTTTCGCTTTCTGGGAACCGCTCTTCGGATTCTTGGAATTCTTATTCTTCTTTCTTTTAACCATTCCAAAAGTATACGTTGGGACAACGCTTATCGATTTTCCTTTATTATTCTTTCTTCCAGCTTGCACCACAACAGGACGCGTTATGTTATTCTTATTGCGGGCTATAGTTGGACTGCGATACGGTGCTGGATCGTTTTTAGCGGCGGGGGAGCTGGTCCCGTACAATGTCAAAGACCAGTCTTGCAAGGTCGCTCGACCTATATGATATTAAAATATAGTAAAAAAGACTACGAGAGAATAAGAAACCTTTATATTTCATCAATTTGCAAAATTATAGCTCATAACCAGAATTATTCTATATGGTTGATACAATATTTTTAGAAGACAATTTAAGCACATAAATTAAGTTAAAATGAGTCAATTTTATTGATAGAAAATGACATATTATGAACCCGTTTTCTTTTAAATTTTTCGACTGTTAATAATTTATTTGTGCACTCATTATTTTTTTAAAGTTGTCAAGAATAATGAAATATGTTTAATACAATGCCGTAAAAGTAAAATGTATTATTTGAGTTCAAATACATTTTTACAATTCTATTAAAGTGTGTCGTCTCTCATATTAAATGTATTACATAAGTTATTTACAAAAAAGCTTCGTAATTTCAATAAACTTACCCATATAGCGACCCTCGTTAGAAACCTCAAGCTGCCACACTCCTAGTGGAGATTCACCCCACATATGCACCGACATAAAAGGCCACGAGTTAAAACCCGCGCGGGAAGAATCGTGCGCCCTGCCGGAAAACGACTTACAATTAAATCACCTTACAAATACAAGTAGTTTCCTCTATCTTTATCATTTAAGTGTCTTTTGTTTAAAAAAACATAAAATATAATAATGACCGCGTGGCCTTCTGGTCAGAGTACCTAGTAGGTACTCTGCCAAGGGCTGTGTGTTCGATACCCAACCAGGGTCATCGTTTGTACAATATGGTACGAAAATGTTTGGTTTTCTAGTCTGGTCTTTTCACTTCTAGTATGAGTGACAGCACACATGCCGTCTGACGTTAAGTGAATGCTACGGTGCAAAGTCTAGAGATTTACCTACTACAGTTATCATCGTAATTATCATATTAATAGTTATCATATAAATTAACGGTTCTCGTATTAATTGACTTCTCCAATGCTTTCTGTACAGTTGATCATGACATTCTTCTTGCTATCTGTAAATACATGGGTTTCTCTTCGTCAGTTTTGGATTGGTTATCAACTTATCTTCGTGGTCGCCAGCAAAGAGTTAAAGTCAACCAACAGTCTTTCTCTGATTGGTCTGATCTTACTACTGGCGTTCCACAAGGCAGAATTGTTTCTTCTTTATTATTTTCTATTTTTGTAAATCTCATAACTGGAAATTTCAAATACTCTTACCATCTGTATACTGAAAATTTACAGCCGTACGCTGGGATTGATCCAGCAGAGGTTAACTCCGCGATCGAAATTTTAAATCTAGATCTTGAGGCCATCTGTGACTGGTGCAGAAATTATTATTTCTGCACCAGTCACAGATGAATGCTGTCAATCCTGTTAAATTTCAAGCGATAATTCTCCGTAGTGCTCGCCGTATAGCTAAATTAGATATTAATTCACTGGAGCCTATCGTTTACAGTAGCACAATTATTCCTCTTAGTCATGTAGTTAAAGACCTTGGCTTAATGATTGATACTAATTTAAGTTGGCAATCTCAGGTGGCTGAAATAAGCCGGAGAGTGACAATCACCCTGCGTGGCCTTTATCGTTTCAAGAATTTCCTTCCAACCGAGACTAAGGCTATGTTGGTGCGAGCGCTTGTTTTACCAATCATTGATTATGCTGATGTGTGTTACTCTGATGTGAGTCAAGTACTTCTATGCAAATTGGATCGTTTATTAAATAATTGCATCCGTTTTATTTTTGGCCTTCGTAAATACGATCATGTATCCATATATCGTTCTAAGCTTAAATGGCTCCCTATTCATCAGCGTAGATGTATCAAAATTCTTCACACGCTTTTTTTCAATCCTATATGATCCATGCACTCCCCAATACCAGAAATGTAAGTTTCAGTATTTGGGTTCTTCTCACGATCGTAACGTGCGATCCTCCGAGGGAACTACATTATGTGTTTTTCCTCGCCGTACCAAATTTATGTTCAGCTGAGGCCATAATGTAAATAAATTACCCTCTCATATTAGAAAACCGACTTCTGTTGCTACCTTTAAGAGGATGGTGACTGACCACTACCTTTCGTCTTCCAGCAACTAAATTTCATATTTAATTGTTTCTGCTTATATGTGACTTGAAATTTTAAATTTTTTAAATTGTTTTAGTATAATATGTTCGTATGTAAGTATACTTAAAATGTATGTATTATGTATTATCATTGTGATCATATATTACTTAGGTTAATTGTAGTTTGTATATTTATTTTTGTATTTACACTTATGGTATGTGTATTTTTATATTTACATTCACGTATAAATTATCCTCATATTTTATGGCACCTGCTAAAGTTCTCTGCTTAGCTCATGGTTGACTGGTAGAGAATGCCTAAAGGCATTAAGTCCGCCAATTGTACATTTTAAGTGCAATAAAGTTTTTAAATAAATAAATAAATACTACAGTTATCCTTGAATCCTTTACTAAGAATCGAAATGCAGGTACGTTGAAACTACTGGAACTAACATGGAATTCCAATAAAAAAAGGTCTCCGTTTCTCGTTACTCACCCTACGAAACACAGCAACATTGTGGTGCTATTTTACCGCGTTTCTTTTTTTCTACATTATATTGAATTCTAGATTTTCGAGTGATAGCTTCGTGCCGGTAAGAAAATTGTAGGTCAGCCCGCTACAAGATGGAGTGACGATCTAGACATGCAGCATGGTTCAGGGCTGTGTTTTGTGACATTCCATGTCGGAGCCCTATGTTAAGCAGTAGACTTGGAAAGGGCTGTAATGATGATGATAATATTGATGATATTATGATACATGAAATAAATTACTATGTCCGTACGTTAACACATATCCTATACCTTTCGGAATACCTCGGAAACGGCTCCAACGATTTTCATAAAATTTAGTGTCCAGAGGGTTTTGGGGGCAATAAATCGATCTAGCAAAGATACATTTTTAGAAAATATCGTTTTGTCCGTGTTTTCAGTCAATGAAAAACTGATACAATATAAGAAGGTTTATTTTGACACTATATTAATGATCATAATAGATCAAGTGGATATGGGGCCGTCGTGACATCATAGTGCCCTGGTTCGCGTCCTGTCTTCGGTCCGACTTTTTTTCCTTATTTTTCAAGTTCCCTTCTTTTGTGGGAAAATCTATTATTTCGAGCCCTTTGTTTAGTATTTTTTTAAAAATACGAAAACTTAAATTAAACCAATTCAGTGTTTTCTATTATGTCAATAAGATCACAAAATATTATTCACGTTTCATCAGTATGTAATTTGTATCTAAATATAATTTCCAGAACACACGATTTCTAAAAAAAAAAATCCGAGGAAAACTCGGTCATCCAGGTACTTAGAATTGCAATGTACAAAGACTGCATAAGAAGGTGTACATATAATAATATAATCTAATATATTATAAAAGTTAATCTTTGTGCGTATTTTACAGACTGCCATACCCTTCATCAGATTGCGTTAAAACTTTGTCTATTTATTGTTCGCACTTGAGCTAGGGTTATAGGTATACTACTGCCATTAACATACAGTAGATGGCGCGCGTATCGTACCAACAAAACTTGAAAGTCATATATCATTCAATTTTCATGAATTTGTTATCATTACTAATTAAAGAGTATAACCTTTCTAAATTATAAACGATATTTCAACAGCTACTATTTCTTCTGCGGAAACTATATAGCGGGTACCAGCTAGTGCTAATTAATACACAATTGATAAAATCCCTAGCTATGATAAAATAAGGTCAATCAATATGTGTCTAAAATAATTCATATAAATAATTATATATTATTTTATTATTATACAACATACCTCGGTGCAAGTAGAGTAACTCTGGTGCCTGCGGGCGAAGTAAGAGCGATCCGCAAATCGCCACGCCGCGCCGCTGACAGCGACACCCGCGCTTGCACGTGCTCCAGATAATTCACACCCGGGCATGAACCCACGTCCAACTGTATCATATATTACCGGTTATACACGTTCCACTCCTTAGTACAATGCAATGCCCCATTGGAGGACTCCAAATGTTTTCTTTTCTTTTCTTTTTAGGGTTTTCTCCTGTATCGTTGAGGCCGTATACATACATAAATTGCATAAGGACAAACATCCAGGCCCGGAACAATTATCCATATGTCACACAAATACTTGCTCCTTGTGGGATACGAGCCCGCGGCCCACAGCACTGCAATAAATTGCATTGCTAAGCCATTGCGCTACGGAGCTGTCAAAGCGTTCTGACATGAGTAGATAAACAGAACAGAGATAAAGCTACTACTGCGCGAATTGGTTGCACTACTACAAGCATGCGGGGTATGTTTGCGTGGCGACTGGCCGCTTGTCGCGTACGCGCGGCGCGACTGGAAAAAATCAAAAATCGAAAATCATTCCGCTGGCACAGCCAGTGGACAATCTCAGGGTCATGTGTCTTTTATTTTGTAAATTTCAAGTTTGAATATTTTAATATAAAAACGTGATGTTATTAATAATGTTAGTTTATTGTACTGTGTATACGAATAACACTAGAAAAAATAAAAATATATCATACTTTAACTATCCCAAGAAGTACAATAGGTAAGTAAATATTTGATTATTACTTTTTCAAGTAAGTACCTTTATTTTATTATATAATCCTTGTTAAAAAGGTAAAAACACGGTGTGGGTACTACACTTATTATTAAATAAGTGTAGTACCCATACCGTGTTTTTACCTTTTGAATGTTGTTATTATTACAGTAGGTATGTGTGTTAAGTTCACATAGTTGCAACTAAGATTGGAACCACTTCCCGACGTCCGATTGAGTTGAAATGTTGTTTACCGTAACTTCAGTCACAATGCAATAATATGATATATATCACCTGATGCAGTAGCCAGGATTATCTCCTCACTAGGTAACTTTTCAACGGGTAGTAGCAGCGTCACGAATTTTTATATGTTGGTTTAACTTTGATAGTTTAACACGATTTTTATCACGAACTACTGCTGTACTGTACAGTAGCATTTTCTCCTTACGAAGGTAGTATTTAACGGTTAGTAGCATGGACTCGAAACCTTGCATTTAAATATAATTTTGTTTGGTAAACATGATCTTCACCATAAACTGCTGCAACAGACCGGATAGATTCATTACGAGGGATCTCTTCAACATCTATAATAACTTTATGTTAGATTCAGAATTTACCACACCATTAAAATAAACAATAAATTATAAAAAAATATTAGAGTAAGTAATTTTTAAAGTATTTTATCATACTGAATAATAAAACTATTTAACCAATGTCTTGTTTAATTTGTCTTCACCTATTGTGACAACCCTACCAAAATAGGTAACAATTTTGCACATTTTTAAGAAGCTTTGACTCTGTTCCATTTACCTAGTCATGTGGTTCTGGTGTGAAGAATATGCGAAGCCTGTAAGCCACATATAACACGTGCGTGTTTGTGTGTGTGTATGTGTGTGTGTGTGTGTGTGTGTGTGTGTGTGTGTGTTCGTGTGTGTGTGTGTGTGTGTGTGTGTGTGTGTGTGTGTGTGTGTGTGTGTGTGTGCGTTCGTGCGTTCGTGCGTGCGTGCGTGCGTGTAGTTTATAATAATTTGTGTATTTCTTGTTTTTTAGATGCTACTAAAATGCGAAACTAAACTAAAAATACAAACCAAAATAATGTTATTTAAATAATTACTTATATTTATTTTACGTATTTATTGTCACAATGAATGACACAAATGAATACGCTTAATAAAGCAGTGCACTGGACAACTTTTTTATATTTTATTGCAAACACGGCATGCAATTTATGATAAAATTAATATTTTTGGAGTTATGAATTTTTAAAAGTTAGAGACCTTACTTTTTTCTTTATTATAAAATGATTGAGTAACGCTTTTTTATTTGTTTTTATTAATGAATATAAAAAACTTGTCCCGTTTGAAAATAACAATTTATTGCATTTATTACTTTCATTATATACATATCATATTCATTGATTTAAACAATATGGCAGCGAACTGCCTCATGGCTAAATGCATTTATATCATCAGTAGAACAATTTGAAGAGAATCGCATAGAAACATTGTGGTGCAATAGTTTTCGGTACTCCAGCGCCGATTCCTCCTGGACTATTGCTATAAATTTAATTGAACTTCGGTTAATTTATCTTTGTAAAGCCAACAAGTCAGATGAAGGCTTGGTAGCACAGAATTTGAATTCGAAGTTCGAATCCCGCACGTTAAAAGTATTTGTTTGGCCTACAAGTAATTCTTTTAAGTCTTATTAATTTAACTACGGGTATGTAAAACGTCTCTACATTACAGTGAAAATCTTAGTAACGTATTAAAAAAAACAGTTATTTTATTTTCATTTATATATAATTTAATAAATTAAGTAAAATAAATTATGATTCGTTTCATAAGAGATAATATTATGTTGAAGTCAATTTTTAATTTTCAAATATTAATACATATTGTACAATAATAATACGACTTCTTATGTTTACGAGAAGGTACTTTTGTAAGTCTCATAACGCGAAGCGTTATTTGGTAATGTTTTACTTTCGTCACGTCAAGATCAAGCAATTTTGTGTTTTTATAATGCCTCTTTCATAAACTTATTGAACTTATACGATAATATGAGCAATCTTAGATCAAGAAAAAACTCTAATTAATCCATCTTATATTTAAAAAAAAATTATTTTATATTGCTATTTTGAAAAACTCGGTCTAAAAAAAATTTACGCGGACTCCGCATGTTGATTTTGTATGTGGTCATGATAACTCCTGAAGAAATTGTCGTATCGAGACCCAGTTTTTTTTTATTAGTTTCAGAATTACATCAACTGGTCATCAATAGCCCTGGTACGCGTAGTTTGTTAATGAAATAATTTTCAACTTTTATAAGTTTTATTACTATTAAAAATTTAAAGGCGATTTCATATATTTTTAGCCCTTGATAGACAAAGGACAAATGTACCGTACATCCTATATCGATTTTATATATTGTGTTAACGATTTATTTTGATAAACACTATGAATTTTTCCCTGTAGGTAACACTACCTGTTAAAATAATAGAGCGCTAAATTTAAAACACGTAAATAATAATATATTTTATAAGTCAGGAATACAATTTATTTTATCATCTAAATTCAATGAAAATTCGTGCTTTTTTTGTATTTTCCAAATATTATTTTTTCGTTTATCCTTGACCATGTCTGTCCCCAACAGCGCCTTTAAAAACAATAAACATTCGAAAAATGGAACAAGAAAAAATAAACGGTATAAAAGTTGTTCACAATTAATTTGAACATACCTGAAGAGTGACAGAAGACCTAGGAGGGACCGCGCGCTGTGGTCTCGGAGCCGCCAGTTCGCAGCGCCTCTGCGGCGGGACAGTTCGCCAGGAGCGAGCCAGCCTCACCATGCCCGCCGCGTCCAGGAGCCCGTATCCAAACGAATGCGACACGTTGCGTCCAACGCCGTTCACACGCCAGTTGCCCTCGAGACTGAGGCGCTCCGGTCTGGCCGTGCGTACGACTGGTAAAATTAACATTTCAATATATTTACATATTTATTCACGTATTTTAGAACACTGGCCTCCCTCATTGACTGATTTATAGAAAGAATACATGTGATAGTTGCCACGGTTTGCAGACGGATTACAAACCGCAGTTCTTTATTGCTATTGTCCGGAAGATGTTTCAGTTCGTCCTGATCCAGTTTCCCTTTGTCAGATCTACTACACCCTTGAGATGATATGGAGAGAATCCACTGGATTCTCTTACGCTACCACCAAGAGTAGCACATTCACTTTACACATTGACTTTCCTATATACGGTAGTCTTGTTAGACGTTGAGTTAGACTGCCTCGTTGGTCTAGTGGTTGTAGTAGTGCGACTGCTGATCATGCCTGGGTTCGAATCCCGGGTCGGGCTAAAAATCAATTATTGAGTTTTTCTGTCAAGAAATTCTCAGTAGCTGCCCGGAGTCAGGACGTTGACGGTATCTCTCACCCCCGTGCCTCGGAAAGCACGTAAGCCGTTGGTCCTGCGCCTGATCTCTCTCCGGTCGTGTCAGTTTACCGTCCCATCGGATTAAGAGAGTGAAGGAATAGAGAGTACACATGTGCTTGCGCGTACACTTGGGCACTATAATCCTGTTCTGCGCCGATGGCTAGCCTTCGTTGAGGCAAGACGCCGTGTGTGGAGGACATTATTAGTCTTGTTAACTATGATGATAATATAACTGAGAATTATATAATAGGGATAAATCTGAACGACAGTGAGAGAAACTGTGTGATAAGAGAAAAAAGTGGTTTACAAAATGATGTTCTATTAACTGGTGAGCATGTATGCTTTACATCCATAGGATCGTGTCAAACGGAAGTCCGTAGTCTCTGCCTACCTCTCTGGGAGACACGCGTGAGCTTTTATGTATTTATTTTATGTATTATTCGAAAAAGTTATGATAATAAAGAATTATTCAAAACATCTATATCACGTGTTATACCAATGTGCTGCATGTCACGCCACGTAAGTTCCCGATTCGCTTGAAGTGCTAGTGCACAAATACCAGCTGCTAGTGGTGCTGACGCTGACGTTCCTGTGTGGCCTGCCGTACACGAGTGATGTAGATCCGTAGTTACTACCTGTATACAAAGTAGCACAAAGTTAATTTATTTTTGTTGTATATTGACTCGTACATTTTGGTCAGTCCTAATCAATAGGTAACTCAAAGAAGATAAATGTTTTTAATACGAAAGATAATATATAATGATAATTATTATTTTGAATAATAAAACTTCTCCAACATATCTCAAAGACAAATTCCAGCATCTCTTTTCAACTCATGATAAGGTTCTTCGCTCCTCATCTTATCATAAGATCAGTATTTCATCACATTTCACTTGGTTTTACCAAGAATTCCTTTACTATTCAGGCAACATTGCTCTGCAAATCCTAATATCCTAGCAGTGTTTTAAAAATTTGATACATAACATTTTTATATTTAGATGTTTTATTATTTGCAATTTCAATAGTTTTTTTTGCAATAGTATTTCAATATCACATTTAAGGTATATATATATATATATATATATATATATATATATATATATATTTTTTTTTTTTTTTTACATGTAACATAATTTACGCACTTTGAGAAAGTAGTTTGTTCAGAATCGTTTACTGAATCGATTCCTATCATTTTTAATATAGGTAATTTTTTATCCCAAAAATAATTAAAACTACGTAAATTACAGTCACACTAAATCTGTACAGTCATAACAAACTGAAATGGACCGTAACTTAAGGCAATAAGACTTTTACGAGTGCAGTTTTATTTGTATTATTACTAATTCTGTCATTTAATAAAAATAAAGATAAATGAACTTTATTTCAAGCACGTTAAAGTCTTTGCGTTCGTGGATTTGTACTGTGACCACAACATTCTTCCGGAATTAGTATAACTAATTTGATAAATAATCAGTGCATAAAAATGTTTAACTAAAAATTCAATGTATTAATTATGATTATAACATTATATACTAATTGGGGTATCTGAGGGTGAGCGTTAGTTACGTTACAGTTACGTTTTTTGTAAAACGTTTTTATTTTTAACTTTTTTTTGCAAACGTGATAAATTAACAATCAATTCTCGCAGAATTTAAAATCGTGCATCGCACAGAATGAGCATCCCCAATAATTTTTTTTATGCTAAACTTAAGACAAAAGCTGCTTTAAAACTTCATAGCAATCTATCGAACCGATTTCGATTTTCGAAAAAAACCACTGAAATCGTTTTGAATTGACGAATTTCGAGATGGAACCCCAAGAATATTATGTAAATACTATTACCCTTCATAAACTTATTCCTATATCCTCAAGATTATTATGTAGAATAGAGAGTAATAGATTTCAAAAAGTTACTTTTGAGAAGTGACATTTTAATTTCCTACGTTGAAAAATAACGATATTTCTTTACAATGTACTTCAACGCTACTCCGTAAGATATTATGAAACTAACAAATTATTCACGGAATATTGTTTCACAAAACGTCGTAAAGCAACACTTGAAATTACGATTAACGATTTCTAATATATTTTTTCTAAATGTAATTGTAATAAAAAAAATAGTGTAGTACATAATCGAACGATGATTTTTTTCTTACTTATATGACTATCGTATGATTTATTTATTTTTATTCGTCCGATATATTTTAAACATATAACATATTTGATATAACAACTTGTATGATTTGGCTGTTTTTGTCTACCAAATTATTACACCAACCTTGTAATAGTAGCGACAGTAGGTCAAGGTGCGACTGGAGTGGTCCTTAGACTACCCTAAAGCCGCGTACATTATAATGATATAAAATATAATAATAAAAGAATTGAATGTTTTATCTTCAAAAATTATCATACAAATAAATAGTTTTCATTTTTACGATTATCGTATGATTAGCAACAACCTAAAGTTTTAAACATTTCATTCGCCGGCTGTCTACGACTTATACAACAGAAATGATCTAAAATTTAAAGAATTTACCTGCTTTTCATTAATGGCTCCGCTGCTATACGTCGCAGCTAATGTGGAACTGCACATTTCTGAGTACCAAGGCACCTCGCCTCGCTCCGTCGCCGACGAAATCGATAGCGTCCAGATGGAATTTGTATAGCCATCGCAGTTGCAATTATCGTGCTCCCGCCCACCATTACCCGACGCCCAAACGAATATTGAGCCTTTGCCGTTTCGGCCCTTTAATAATGCAATTAAAAGCTTTAATTAATGGTCACCTATTAATGATTAATTTCTTGAACGAAAATTGTTTTTCTTTACTTGTCACCTCTATTAAACATCTTCAAGCCCGCTCTCTAATAACAGAGAGCCTCGCAATATGGTCGTTCATCACCCTCACGGTGATCAGCGATTAGTTGCATGGTCGTATGTTTTATCACAAGACGTGGTCACTCGCTATTAAGTGCGTAGCAATTACGTGAGCGAATTAATAGCAGCTGTTTTGGATCGCCGCTCACATAGCCGTCAGCCTCCGCAAAGTCTAATTTACCTGAGGATGTCTCGTGTAGAGATAAATAACGAGTCGTATTATAGTTGGTGCTGTGCCTTTCCTAGTGTAGTGGTGTTGGGAGTAGTGGTGCTGGGATTAGTGGTGACGGAGATTGTGCAGGGAATTGAGGGAGGGCGGGAGGTACTCTTCAAACTAGGTAAGACACATCATTTTATTTCCACTACTGTGCGATTTAGAAGAACTTCTCTTCCTCGCACAACTTCCCTGTGGAATCGACTACTATCAGCGAATTCCCGGACCGATACGAGTTAGGGACCTTTAAGAAAGGAGCCTATTTTTAAAGGCATATCCCTGGTGTTGCTATTGTTCATGGGCGGCGGTAGTCACTTACCATCAGGTGAGCTGAATTCTCGTTTGCCCCTCTCCTATAAAAAAATCTACGCTTACATGCTCATTGGTTCAGGATACTTTGATTTGACCCATTTTCAATATGTTGTCAGTTTTGTCCATAAACGGGTGTCTCTTGCAGACTTCGCCACTTATATTTGGAACATAAATCACTTAACATTAGGTGAGAACTTGGTTTGTTTAATTTTGTTATAATAAAGCATACTGTATCATTGTGCAAGTACACTAAGTTGTATTGCATTGCAGACAATGTTTATATACGGATCGATTTCATCATTTAGCTATATTGTGAACATGTTATTAAGCACTTTTAAAATTGATAGGAGTGATTTACAGTAAGAATTTTTTTTTTAAATATATATTCCTATATTGCCATATACTTACTTATCCCTTACAGCCTCGTCTTCATCTTCATCATCTTGTGATATATTTTTTTCCGGTATATATATATATATATATATATATATATATATATATATATATATATATATATATTGGTTTTTGTTTAAATGTGTATTTTTGTACCGTAAAGAATATATTGACTAATTGATTGATACCTTTGTAACACCTTCAATAAATGCCCTTGTGGCTAGCTCTCCGGGACCATCCACAGTTTTTCCGTCATCGTCTGGCCCCCAAGATGCATTGTAGATATCTACATGCTGGGGATTGAGGCTTAGAGATCTCGCTTCCACCGCATCGGTCACGTCACCGTCCAACATTCGCACACCTTTATATGAAAAAATCATTTTTTCTAAGTGATTAGATTGAATTAGTTACAATTTCATAATTTTAATTTATATTTAATATTACGAGCTGCGAGTTCTTTGAAATAACCATATGTCACGGCATAGTGTGTGACGTCATTTGTGTCTGAGTTAACTCGGTCTCATTCAGTTTAAATTAAATATAAGAAGAAAGGGACAGTCTAAATTATATTTTGTATGTACCACTATTGCCCTCTCTGATTTCTGACGGTTTTTCAGTACAAAGAAGGGTCCGTCACACTACCGCCAACAAATTTCACATGTCCCGGTTTTATCATATTAATATACGTACAGGTTCCCTAACAATATTTTCCTTCACCGCCAAGCGCGTAACTTCTCCTTCTTCATCATCAGCCTATGTAAGTCCGCAGCTGGACATGGGCCTGTCCTGTTATATTATAAAAGATTCGCCTTAATCGTCACGCTTCACAGGCGGACCGACGATCGCACTAGGTACCACACGTATTGATGCTGCTGTCCGTCGCCGATCTGGATGTTTTACGTCTGGCGTAAATGAGATATGGTAGCATGATATCGGAAGTTCAGTTCTCATGTGTAGCAGGTGGACGGATTCTCTTACAATTACTACGGCAAGTATACGGCAATTATTGTCAATAACAATAAAGCTGGTAAAAATAAAACAATACTAATATATTTAGGAACAATAAAGGCGATTGCAATTTTAAGTGATGATCTACCAACTTAAATAACAAGACATTAAAACGAATACTATTTTTTAGCAGAATTGGTGATAATGGGGGATACCTTCCCCATTTTTATATAAAAATTGCTAAAAATAATACGTAGTCTATAAAGGACAACGGAGAAACATGGTGAAAAATATTTCTTTTTTTGTGTACGTACCCAATAAAGGACAACGGAGAAAGTAAAATATAATACTTACCTCCAACACTAGCACCATAAGCAACACCTACAGCACAAAGTGAATTATTGGCGGTGGCAGCCACCTCGCCCGCGCACCTCGTTCCATGCCTGTTCGAATCTATCATGTCGTAACGTGGTTGTGGGTCTGAATCGTGCGAATTCACGTCGTATGAGGCCATAGGATCCTATTAACAAACACAATATAGTATAATAATTAACCATATCTACCTCATATCGTGCCATGGGTGTCGAAAACAAATTAGAAGATGTGCACCGTCTTTTTGATAGTAAAAAAATCAATCTCTCTTCCTCTTCACTCATTCACAATCATTCATAAGTCAACTGATGAAAATAGCCTCGCTCAAGAAATACCACAAAACTCGGTCCTGTGCCACCCGCACACATTGACTTCCTGAATGTCTTACATGGTGGTCACTATATCTAGTTGAGGGTAGCCCTACCCATTGCTTCTTCGAGCTATATGACCAGCCCATTGCACTTCAGCTTGCCGATCCGTTGGTTTATGCCTGTAATTATGGCGCCACTGCGGACATCTTAAGCAGGAATTTCGTCAAGCAAAGAAAATCCGAGCATATGCCCCTTACTATATTTATACTTAATTTATAATACATACTTCCTCTTACGTGTATATATATCTAGTTTTAATACTCTCGAGTTCTGATATAAGTTTGTAAATATCTCGGTAAGTCATCAAAAGCGATCATGTTATAATACAAAATAGACACACAAAAACTAAATATATCTAACCTAAATCCCATGCTACACTCATGTTAAGAAGTAGCAGAAAGTAGATTTAGAAAATCGTTTTCATACTCACGATTTTTCGATTTTTTTACATGTAAATTCATTCGCCTTAATATATTTAAAATATTATGAAGTTTTAAATAAACTAACTCGACTGCATAAGATTTGGTTTTAGTCCATCAACTTATGAGGACAGTTTACACCAGATCCGGTAATTTTTCTTAGTTGTCATTCAAAATAAGAATGTGATTTCACATAATATTTTCTTTGTATATAAAATTTTCCATACTCATTTTTATTAACAAATTAACAATGTTTTTAATTATCCTTAGTGTCCGACATTCTACATTATTTTCTAAAGCTGTAAATTATTCTGAACATTAAGTGAGCAAGACACAAATGTACAAGCCCGGACTCATGACAAAACAATTACTGTAACTTGTTAAGCAAATCATTGTAAATGAACACAACAAATACTATACATATATATCATGTATTTTATATCTAAATGTTAATCAAAACTTGTTACAGCGCTTCAGCGGTTTGTTAATGAAAATGTCAAGCGATGATGTAGCTGTTCATGTTCGGTTAAGCAATAAATTGATAAATTTCAAATTATGTGCATGATGAATTTCATGTATTCATTATATAAAGGCTGTCTGTTAAAGTCTACTCTTGAACACAGACATCCACATAGATTCATAAGGTATTCATGAGCGCTGCCGCCTTACTGATGGTTTATGTCGCTCTGTCACCTCTATGGATATTCTTATATAACCACTACACGGATTGATGAATAGAGTGTCGAATATTTTACACTAGAACGAGTTACGTATTTCTACTATGGACTCATAAGAAACAACTAAGGGAAATAAGTAGATATAATCTGAAAAATCCAATTGAAAATTAAAAAAGTTACATCTCATATAATTATATACGTCCCATTGCCAGGTATATTTCTGAAGGGGTTTTACGGCAAGGAAAACTCCTCCTTGTACCGTATTGCTCCAATATATAATATTTTCGGTCTTAACATTTCTTCGATATATTTTTAATTTTTTACACATGATGGTTTCCTCGCGGTTCTTTCCTGAGCCGAAGCCGTTCCGTGAACTGAGCAAATGGTAAATCAGCTGTTAAAATAAAAATAAATGACTCAAAACCTTAAGGTACATTTTTCTACTTTTAAACATAAAAATTGAGACTTTAAGAATATGTATTAGGGCGCATAATACCTTGAATATTCCCAAACATGAGAGGTATCATGATACGTGAGAATACTGATAAAGTTGTTTCGACTAAAAATCCATATTTAAGTCATTGAAGAAATGTGTATTACGTACTATAACGGACACTGCAAACAAAATCTGTGAAGCACAGATCCACCATTTTATAAGGCACAGATTAAGCCCAAGAGCTCTAAGGCGTGTTGCAAACAATCAAGTCTCTTTGTCTACTTCAATGATTTAAGTAAACCATTTTTGAATAGACTTACTGCAATCTGTGGATCGCCTCTCATTAGTTAGATTGGTGCACCCCGCTGATCAACTTACAAGAAGCCTCTTGTTGTTGACTTATATTTTTTATTGAAGTGAGACACACGAGCACATAGTTCCATCTGATGGTAAATTGATGCTGTGGCCCGTACAGACACAGGTTTATCCTTGACTAAGAATTAAAACGTTGTCACCCTTGACGACTAAGATGGAATACTTTATTACCAGTTAGTACAAAGGGTCCTCAATAACCGCATTTGTGATAAGATCGACTATGCCATAACAACACTGATCCCAGGAGGGTTGTACATAGTAATTCACTGATCTAGCAGAAAAATGCTCGCTTGGCAATTTATTAGCATTGAAAAAAAAGTTTGCGAACAATTATGATACATAGCAAAAAAGTAAATAAAATCTTGAATTAAAAACAATAATTAATTCCAACGAACGTAATAGCTATAACAATAACAACAAAGCAACAAAAATTTTACTTACGTAATTAGCGATTAAATCTGGATGATCTGTTTCTAGGCCGTCGTCCAAAATGGTAACCACGACACCACGTCCAGTGACGCCTTCCCGCCATGCCGGAATCACGTTCATATCCAAGCCTCCGCCACGGTTCTGCAAATATTTTATTTAGAAGTACATGCTAGCTGGAGATACCATTCGGTTTAAGATGTTTAACTATTACAATCTCACCCCGTAAGTAACCGTAAGCTTACTTCATATAACTTGTATATTTTATAGCTTTGTCTTCCCGCACTACGTATACGCTATCAAATAAGAAACACACAGAATAAAATAATAAGCACGCGAGTAGCTTTCAGTGCCAAAGCCATTTGGTTTGCTTTAAAATTCGTTGACAGTAATTTGTCAAACTTACTTTACTAGAATTTTTATCAAACTTTGTGATATATGAAGCCAACATGTTAAAAGTTCGTACGGAAATTGTCTTACACACCATAAAATGGCTGCCTAAGTGTTTAAGATGTTTATTTAATATTTTGTATTAAATTTTAAATATTAAAGAGGCATGGAATTTTCAATTTGTAAATTTTATATGTATGACTGTGACAGAAGTGATAGGTGACAAATAGCCCATTGTTTACACTATGACAAACCCAATATACAGTTTTTATATGGTAGAGCCATGATGCAGCTATATTAATTGTATAGTTGTAGCACGAATGGGTCCGCTAGACCGGGGAAGAACCACGCTCTCACAGAATACCACGTCAAATAGCAGCTTAATGATGCTGTGTTTCGTATGGTGAGTGTGGAGAACCGGAGACCCTTTTTACTTGAAAAGAGGCATTACATCTTAGTCCTCAAGGCTGACAACGCATCTTCATTTTGATTCGCAAACGAGGATAGATGTAGATGTCTATGGGCCACACAAACCACTTATCATCAGGTGGACTGTGTGCTCGCTTGTCACCCTTTTCCTATTTAAAAAAAAAGTTAGTCCCATTTTTAGGGGTTAGTTTACTCCTAACTTTTTGATATTATAAATAGGACTAGATTAACACCTATTCTGCTCTCCTGTCCGGCGAGCAGTTTGGCGTATGGCTCTGGGGGAGAGCGCAGGCCGTGTTGATCCCCAGGGGAAGTCTGAGGAGTTCTCCTTCACATTGGTGCCGTCTTTATTTGGTCTGGTTCAATAGGCAACAGACAGAACAGAAACACTCGGACGATCCTCTTTTTTTTTCTTTTATCCCTCCCCTTTTTCTATCCTAACCCAATCCAAGGTGTCAAGCGTACCGTGGCGACGGATGCGTGGCTGGTGAGAGTCCAGTCGCAAACGGTGCCTACCCGAGACCAAGGCGATTCGGGTAGTATTTTAGCCCTTCCCTCGGCATGCGTGGCTCTGCCGGGGGTGACCAAGTATTTCCCCAGCTAATCGTGGGAACAAAATGGATGAAAACCGACATTTTGTAAAAGACAATGAGAAGTCTCCTTTAATGGAATTAGCTGCAGGTTTGGAAGAGGCTCTTTTAGCCTCACCAACACCCTGCAACAGTGCGCCTCAACCTGGGATGAACCGTGAAGTGGAGGGCACGTTTGCAGCCGAACTACAATCGTAAATGAACCAGGGAGGGGAAAAGAAAAAGTTCGCTAGGCCTTATAAGCTTAGTGGGGCAGCGAGGAAAAGGTACCGAAGGCTGATAGCAGCTGAGATTGGAGCCGATGAGGCTCTCTCTCTCTGCCAAAAGCCTTGGAATGAAATTCCTCTGCCCAAGCCTCCCCCAGTTCCGAAGGCGAAAAAACGCAGTCGGTCTGAGGAAGAGTCCCCCAAAGACCAGCCCAGTAACAGTGTGAAGCTGGCAATGGCGGAGAAGAAGCTCAGCTTCAGTGCCGTAGCTGGCTCCGGGCGTATAGGAATTCGCAATTCGAATCCTATGAGTGTGGAGCAGATGCGGCTGGTCCACCGGGCACTAACACAGGCCATAGCTAAGACGGCCTGTGGGTCGCAACCGGGAATGGGTCCAAAATTTTCGGGTTTCACACACAAGCCAAGTTGGATTCTGGTAACGTGCCTGAATAAGGCAAGCCAGGACTGGATTGTGGGTGAAATCGGAAAACTAAAGCCCTGGCTGGAGAGATCTCGGTAATAACCGAGGGCGAACTGCCTAAGCCTCAGCTGGGCATTACCGACTTGCCCCGCAGCGAAGCCGACTCTCTAGAGGAGGAGGCTGTGCTGTTGAGGGCACAAATTGAAGGGCTCCATACTGAGCTCTGGAGAATCCTCTAGCGTAGGGACGAGGAGAATGGGTTCCTAATAACCTTTTCTATGGACGACCCATCGGCGGAGGCTCTTCGGAAGGCAGGCGGCAGAGTCATCCTTGGCTTTAAGATGATAACTTTTAAAGTCAAGGGAAGCTCTGACGCGGCAATGGAGCCCGAACCGCTCCAACCCCAACCCCAACCCCAATGCCCCCAGCCCTCCACCTCTCGGGGTGAGGCTGGAACGCCACCGGTGAGAGTGACGAAGACCCAAGGCGTAGATTTCGCTTCGGTCCGACGGCCTCCACTGGTGACGTCCAGGCCGGGGGGAGGGGAGGTGGGAGGGGTTCGACGAAAGGTAAGGCGTGGGACAAGTTCGCAAGCACAGGACGTCCTCGTCCTCAACAGGCGGAAAAGACCCCTGCCCCCCCCCCCCACGCCCATAAATGGCTAAACCCAAGGGTAAGACGAGGGTCCTCCAAGCAAATCTTCACCATGCAGCAGCTGCTTCTGCCGTTGTGGAGGTTTGCTTTGCAGAGGACAACATTGACCTCGCCCTTATACAAGAGCCTTGGGTGACTAACGGTCAAGTTCTGGATTGGCAGCTGCCGGTAAGATTCTTGTCAATACCAAAGGCAGTGTACCCAGAGCTTGTATAATTTATAATAAAAATATTGAACTTTTAGCTGTTCCAGAGTACTGCAATGATGACCTGGTTACAGCCTTCATAAATCTCAAGGGATGCACTGGGGCCAGAGTAATCATTTGCTCAGCCTATCTTCCCGGCGAGAACGCAGATCCTACTATCGAGTTAGAGCAAGTGGCGGAGTTCGCCCGAAAACACAACGCCGAACTTGTGGTGGGTTGTGATGCTAATGCTCACCACACAGCCTGGGGAAGCACCAACATCAACAAAAGAGGTGAGTTACTTTATGATTTTCTCATCTCCAACTGCCTGGTAAGCCTAAACTTAGGTTGTACACCAATCTTAGTAACGCGTGCTAGACAAGAAGTGTTAGACATAACCTTTGCTACCAATAACATGTCCAGGCGGATAAATGACTGGCATGTTAGTAGCGAAAACTCGACGTCTGATCACAATCACATTAAGTTTGTGATTGGAGCATCACCAACATTTGTAACAGTTACTTTTAGGGATCCGAAAGCGACCTCCTGGGATATCTACAGAGATAGCCTAAGGACGAATTTGGAAACGTTTCCTAAAAGCATCAAAACAAATGAAGGTCTGGAGTTAGCGATGGAGACAGTAACCGTAGGTATCCGTGAAGCCTTCGAGGACAGTTGTCCCGTCAAAACCAAGACCTCAACACGAAAAGTTTCTTGGTGGAATTCTAAGCTGAAAGAACTTAGGGAAAAGACCAGGAAACTATTTAATAGGGCTAAGAAAACCAAAGAGTGGGATATTTATAGTGCCGCCCTAACTGAATATAATAAAGAAATCAGGAAAGCCAAGAGAGATTCGTGGAGGAAGCTATGCGAGGAAGTTGAGTCTTTGCCTCGTAGTGCAAGACTACACAAGATGCTATCGAAAGCTAAACCTAAACAGATCGGGCTTCTTAAAAAGCCTAATGGTAACTTCACTAATAGTGAAACAGAAAAATTGGAGTTACTAGCGTCAACCCATTTCCTAGGGTCATACAAGACTTCGGCCTTGAACTCTTTCAGAGCCCCACGAAGACCATGAGGACTGGCGTAGGGCTGCAAAGATAATAAGGCCAAACCTGGTTCAGTGGGCTGTTGACTCCTTTGAACCATTTAAATCAAGCGGGGAGGATGGAATTAATGGAATTTAATTCCTATCCAACTACAGAGGGGTATCGACATCCTTCTTCCTTATCTGGTGAAAATCTTCAGAGCAGAGCAGTTTTGCATGGGGATATATTCCAGAACGATGGACAATTGTCAAGGTTCTATTTATACCTAAGGTTGGTAGAAAGGACTACGCTTTACCAAAGTCCTTTAGACCTATAAGTCTATTTTCCTTTCTTCTTAAGACATTGGAAAAGGTTATAGATAAATATATAAGGGATGTAGCTCTAGCTACGGGGACCATACATTACAACCAATATGCTTACTGCAGAGGCAAATCTACGGTAACAGCCCTGAACAGTGTCATTGACAGGGGCGAAAAAGCACTGGAGGATAAATAAGTAGCTCTTTGTGCCTTTCTAGATATTGAGAGCGCCTTCGACAGTAGCCCCACATCACTGCTGATTGGGGGCCTAACATCTAAAAATGTTGACCCCACAACCATCAGATGGGTGAAGTCGATTAATACAAGGAGGTGTTTTGTCACCCCTTCTTTGGACTCTCGCGGTTGACCAACTATTGTACAAAATGGCAGACCTACGCATTGACACATTGGGTTATGCTGATGACCTTGTGATCATTGCGAGGGGCTTTTGTCAAAGTGCTTTATCGTCAATAATACAAAGAGCCCTAAACACCATAAATAACTGGTGTAGGGATAACAGTTTATCAGTTAATGCTGATAAAACTGTTTATAATACCCTTTACCAAAAAGAGACGGTTGGACAAATTAATCCAACCAAAACTTAATGGCAAAGAAGTACAATTTTCCACTGAATTTAAGTACTTGGGCGTAATAATCGACCAAAAACTAACGTGGAACTCTCACCTTAGCAACGTATGCCATAGGGCAAAAATTGCCTTAGGTACGTGCAGTCGTGTAGTAGGGAACAACTGGGGCTTGCGTACCAGTATAGTCCTATGGCTGTACAGTAGCATAGTGAGGCCGATTCTCACCTACGCCTCTATTGTCTGGTGTAACAAGGCCAACCAAAAGACGACTGCGGACAGACTAAATAGTCTACAAAGGACTGCCTGCTTAATGGCAACTGAAGCTATGCGATCATCGCCTGGAGCGGCTCATAATGCACTTCTATGCCTAACGCCCCTTGATCTCTATCTAGACAAGGAGGCGAGGGCTAGTTTGTATAGGATTAACGCCCAGGGCGGTGTGAGCTTGCTCTCCTACAGATTGAGATCTATGCTCGACTAAATTAAGGAATCACCGGTCTTATGCATGATCTCAGATATCATGCGTCCACTACACACTTTTTATAAAAAGTATATAGTGGAATTACCCTCCAGAGAAGACTGGCAGAATGGCCAGGTTATCTGTAAGGTCGGTAGCCTCATATGGTATACCGATGGGTCTAAAATGGGCCTCGCCGTTGGCTTTGGAATTTACGGGGGAACGCCCCAAATTCAAACTTAGTATGCATTTGGGTAGATACACCTCTATCTTCCAGGCAGAAATTTTCGCCATACTTCGGTGTGCGGAAATCAATCTGCAAAAACACTACGTCAACCATAAAATTTACATAAACTCTGATAGTCAAGCAGCACTGCTAGCGCTGAGATAAAACTTAGTGAACTCAAAGCTAGTTGGAGACTGCGTGAACCGTTTAAACGCCCTGGGATGTGCTCCGGGCGTTTTTTCTACGGTTGCTTCTGCACCCTAACTGGACACTGTTGTTATAAAAAGCACATGTCTATCCTGGGACTAAGCAACTCAAGGAAATGTCGGTTCTGTTCCATAACGGAAGAAACGCCTCTACACATCCTAACCGATTACAGACCCTTAATGCGCAAACGTAACACTCATCTGGGACACTATCTACTCCGCCCAGAAGAAGTGAAATTGCTCATCATCATCATCATCATTACAGCCCTTCACAAGCCCACTGCTGAACATAGGCCTCCCCCAAGTAATGCCACAAAGCACGGTCCTGAGCCACCTGCATCCATCGACTTCCTGCATGTCTTACCAGGTCGTCACTCCATCTAGTGGGGGGTCGCCCTACACTACGCCTACCGGTACGAGGCTGCCACTCGAGAACCTTTCTTCCCCATCGGTTATCGGTTCTTCGAGCTATATGGCCGGCCCATTGCCACTTCAGCTTACTAATCTATTGGGCTATGTCGGTCACTCTGGTTTCACTGCGGATATCCTCATTTCTGAGTCTATCACGCAGTGAAACTCCGAGCATAGCCCTCACCATAGCTCGCTGAGCGACCTTGAGCGTCCTCATACGGCCAGCGGTGAACGACCACGTCTCAGATCCGTAAGTCATCACTGGCAATACGCACTGGTTGTACACTTTAGTTTTCAGAGATTGAGGTATACCTGATGAGAAGATGTGCCGTAATTTCCCGAACGCTGCCCAGCCGAGTTGAATCCGTCGATTGACCTCTCGGTCAAAAAAACGGCTAAGCAACTCCTTCGATTCATTGAAGACATAGGGCTTAGCCGTGAACTATAGCCATAGCAGCGATCACAATAGATATATAGACCTAGACCTGCATAGCTGCTCGCATATAATAATAAAAAAATAGTCCAATTTTATAATATGCTTGGCATACTAACACACTTAGCACATTATTTTTTTATTATAAGTCCATATGTTAACAAACCAACTCCTTGTACAAGTTGACAGACATACATGGGACCATATCCCATGTAACATATACTCGAGTATCTCGCTGCTCTTTGTCACTGTGTCTGCTCTGTCTACCAACTCGGGAATTACAGGCATGACGCTATGTGTGTATGTACGAGTTTTCATAAATTTTATATAGTCAAACGCTTTGTTCCTTGCTTATTATTAAAGTTTTAAGTTTTACCCCAAAAACGTAATTGTGAAAAAGCACCAAAATTCGGTAAAAAGAAGATCGCGGTTATCGCTTTGGTTTCGGTGATTACTAAATAGGTGCCATGTTCTACAGCAGACAGGAATTAATAATCGAAAAACTTTATTTACTTATCATCCGTAGCTATATTTTCTATTTATGCTACTCTTAATCGTTTATCAATTCCGTTTTATTTAAAAAAGTAGACTGGTATTTTACCCTTCATGCCTGCATGCCATTGCGTTAATCCATTGCTGTAACCGTAATATAAGTGCAGTGTGACTTCACTACGTTAAAATTATTGACATCGTATGAAAGTAAATGATATTAAGTAGTTTTTTAAGGATTAAATCGTTATAGTAAATATTGTATTTAATAAAATGCACATTAATACTTACTAAATACCACATATGTGGCCATTTGGGGTCATTCAGCTGGAACTTAAAGTCAGCGGATCGGGGCCGTCCCTTAACTCGTGAGTGCTGTAAGTCACGCTTAGACCCTGCTTCGCGCTTTGCTGCAGAAGTCGGTGCAGGAGCATGGGATGATTTTGTTTCAACTATGCAACAAGATATATTTATTTAATCATATTTTACTGTTTTCAAATTTTAACTAAATATAAAGTAAATCAAATCAACCTTACTTTAGTAACCTAACTTAACTTAAGTTCTAATCTAAATTCATTTGTTCTTTTAAAAATCAATCATAAGGGAGTCGAAAAAGAGATCCTCTCACTTCGTAATAATTGTTCAGCTGGAGTATATGGTATCACAACTCTTATTTCATAATGTTACAGAAAAATATTAGTACCACCGCTCACATATTTAACATCTGTTATACAAAAATATTTTATTTACATGTCTGGGGAAAAAAAGTTTTAAGCATTTCACTACTTCCATCTTTGTTGAAAGTGTTAGAAAGTCTTCAAAAAACATCTTGTTAATTTCTTGGAAGGGCATAATCTTTTATCATACAAGCAGTATGGTTTTCGTTCGGGACAATCGACCAATGGTGCAATACATGACTTCACTGACTTTGTTGTCAATGCTTAGATATCTAAATGAAATTCCTAGCTATATTTTTGAACCTAGCTAAGGCTTCCGATGTAGTTTCAATCTCTAGACTTATAAATACACTGAAAGCATTAGGTTCCTATTAGAAAAACCCAGGTTTTTTAAAAGTAACTTAAGGGGCAAGACACAGTGTTTAAAAATAAGCGATTATGTAAGTGATTATAAAGAGATTGAATACGGTGTTCCCCAAGGCAGCCTCCTAGGTTCAATATTGTTTTAGTTAATGTGAAAAATATGTGTCAACTCAGTATGGATAAGGGAAAACACAGCTTTTGCTGACGATACTGCCTTGGTGTATTCCGTTACAACGTGGGAAAAGATATATAAATTAGCTCAGCGTGGTTTTAACATTGTTACGGTTTGGCTAACACAAAATGGTCTCATACTCAATAAAGCTCATAGCATTTAGTATTCGGTCTCCAAAATTACCTCCTAATCTTATAATAATATCCCATAGTCATTCTGATAACGTTCTGTCTCCAGAAACAAACTGTGACAGTCCTAGCCTAGAAACGGTCCATTCTCTAAATTATCTGGGAATAATTTTTGATGATAGACTCACTTTTTCTAAAATAAAAGCAGCCTAAGTTATTTCTTATAACATTAGTTATCTGTCACTTAACGTCCCGTCAAAATTGGTTCAGCTGTTTTGGGGATTAGTCGGAACAAATATATAGACAAAAATATTTTTTTTGTTATGTATAAATACTGATCATACTTTCATATGAATTTTGTTAAGAGCTGTTAATTTGACATTACGAACAGATATTTCAATTTTATTTATTTGTGTATATGTATAGATTAAATATGAGGATTAAATTGTTTTCCCCTTACGCGAATATTACATATTAAATAAAACTTTTAGGAATAAAAAAGGTGTTGAATTGAATACAAATGCAGTAAAATCTCTAAATTAGTTTAAAATTTATTCAATTAAGAAGTTTACCTGTGGATGAGGAATTTTTTAAAGGCAAAAAATCTCTTTTCTTTCTTGATATTGCGCGTTGTTGTTTTGCCCAGTGGACGCGCGAGTCATTCTCCAGACGACCGTGATGTTCTGATGCTGGCGTGATGGACCTCCGTGCCACGGAGTTGTGATGGAAGTGGTAATGATTGTCAAATATCTGTAAACAAAATAATTACGTTAGCTTAGAATCATAATAATCAAAGTTATCGTCTTACAAAGAGATTCAAAAAAATTTACCACCCAAAACACTGAAGAATCACATTTAAAAATACCCTTTAATCCATAGGAGAAAATTTAAGGGTACCTTACTCTGTAATTTTGTATTAACATCAAAAAAATAATTTGCGCGTCCATTTTACATCTGTTATCAGTGTTGGAGCTCGTACTTTCTTATCCCGCAGACCTATTGCCACTTTAGCCCATTAATCTCTTACCCTAGATCGATAATTCTGTTGCTATATAAAATAACCTTGTTTGAACGAAAATGTATACACTACAAATGTCCGTGATTTGCGAGTATTTGTGCTTCTTGTTAACAATTTGACTCGATTAATTTTTAATGTATTTGTGTGTGCATATTTCTTTGGCACGCTATGTAGATTAAGCGCCTTGACGCCTATTATATAGGGTAGCGTTACAATCGTCTCAGTTGTGATGGTGATATAGGGTATAAAATTTTTCTCTTTTCAGTAAACTTATTTACGCAGTTTCGTTTTTTTTTTAAATAATTTTTTAACCATGCCTATTGGAGAATCTCAAGTAAATTTGCCAAGATGTGAACTGAAAACAATTTCCCGATTCCCTCGATCATATCAATGAAAAACCCTTATTAAAGAGCAAAGCAAAGCATCTCGCAGCTGCTTCACGTCTCCGCTGTGACGTGGTGATTTTTCGATAACATTAACAAAACATTTTCTTGGTAATTTTCCTCTTTGTAATTTCAATAAACACGTACGAAAATTTTATAACTTTATTATTAAAGCGACTTGTCAGTAACAGCTAATACAAATAATATAATAAATAAAAATAACAAATAAATACGTATTAATAATGTAATTATTAATACGTATTTAATAATTGTGTTAGGAAGCTTAATGAAAGTTTAATTTGCTTCTCAAATTAATTTCAAATCTAATAAATTTTTGGTCCTTCATTTATTTGGTGGTAAATTATTTAAAATCTGTATAAAATTAGAAGTGTTTTTTTTAGTCGTATTACGTCGTGTGTGCATGTAGCAAAATCCATCACCTCTCTGCGTTCCGAGTGTGCTTCAAAAGGTGACCATAGGAAATTCCAGAATAAAACTTGTGACTTCCAATAATGGCGCTTTAGCCATCTTGTTTAAGTCATGAAAGCCTATCAAAAGTCAGTCAGTTTCAGTTATTAGGAAGACGCTGCTGCCCATCTGCTGGTTTGTTTCCGCCTGTCGCCTCGTAGGACTCCCACGGGACGATATGGAGTAGTGGATATGCTTACACCGCCACTACACAGCCAATCTCTCGTTTACACCAGACGTAAATACACACACCGTCAATGGGTAGTAGATGCAAAGCTGCAAGGCGTATTTTTAAAGGAGAATAAAGGTGACAAACGAGCTCACAGTCCACCATTGTAATTGAATGTGGGCTCATAGACAATTATACCTATTCTCGATTAAGAATCAAATCGTAGATGCGTTGTCACCCCCGAGGACTAAAATATATGTCACGTAAGTAATGACGTTCTTCGCTTCTTTACACTCACCATACGAAGAACAGCAGCATTAAGCTGCTATTTCACGCCTGTATTCTATAAAAGTGTAGTGCTACTGTCATAATATAACTGCAGTATGGCGTCTGGTATTACGATCGCCAGTCCGCACAACTATAGTGACGAATATGCAAAATTTTCGCAACAACGGAAGAAGCCCATATCTAGCAGCACATATATGCAATAATCTATGTATATATGTATATATATATATATATATATAGATAGATAGATATATAAACAAATTCAAATTTATTTATCCTACTATATATATCCCACTGCTGGGCACAGGTCTCCTTTCATTTCGGACAAAATTTTAGACCAAGGAAGTTTCCGCCGCACTTTTTTCATGCGTGTTGGCGAACTACACATGTCTTCGACAAAGGTTATTTTCTTATTTTTTGAGTTACGTTTTTTTTCCTATTTCTTAGTTTCTCTTCGTCGTCGATCACGTGGAAAATCAGCACTTATAATTACAATTACCAATTTTAGTAGTGCCGACGGGGATCGAACCCGGGTTGCTCGCGTACTGTATTATTTTGCAGCGAGCGCTAACTATCTGAACTACCACGGTTCTATAGATATTAAAGAAAAATCGAGGCGAGGTAATTCTTCAACTATTCATTAAAGAAACGGTGATTCATTTAAATTGCTGTAGCCAGCCAGCCAGCATTAGGTTGAGCCAAATGACTTAATAATAATATAAATGATTAAAAATAAACTAGTTACGCTATCGTTTTATTCTATGTGCATAATAATATTTTGTTATACAATTTAATTGTTCAGAAAACATATATCAATATATATATATATATATATATATATATATATATATATATATATATAGATCTCTTTACGGTAAATGTTGATCAGACGCGACTTCACGCGAGCACTTTGTTGATCCGAAAACGCATGTTGATCCGGCGCCTTTTGTTGATCCAATATGCATCTCTGGTAACTAATGTGGCTCCGACCGGATCAAAATCTGCACTCACGAGACTGTTTGCTAGCGTTGGCCGAATTTGATCCGATATACAAATCCACCTTGCGATGGTTACGGAAAATGTTGATCCGATTTAAATGAGCCAACCAGAGCACAGCAAACGATAAGATAAACGATCGGATTGGCTGAATGCAGCCGCGACGTTGCCGTTTCGTATCTTTGGCGGTACAAGCTACAGATTAAATGCGTGTTCAATACAATAATGCATTCAGGGTGCTGTTGGGTCTGCCTCGTTATTGTAATGCGCCGGGTATGTTCGCGGATGCGCGTGTGGATTGTTTCTACACCACCATGCGTAAACGTTGCACATCCCTGCTGCGCAGGGTGCGGGCCAGTTCCAATGGTATCCTGAGGGCATTTTCTGACAGGTTTGAGGTCAGTACCTGAACCATTGTCATATGGTGCACGTGCTGACTAATCAGGCCTGTCTTATAGTATAGTTTTAAAATTAGGTGAATAGTTTTAAGTTTTACTAAAATTAGTTTTAAGATTTGTATTATTACTAACATCTATGATCCTTGTGGTCGAAATAAACGACTTTTTTTAACGAATTACTCGACAACGCCCCTTCTTGTAGCGGAAGTGGTGGCAACGGCGACATAATGTATTCGTCTGAGTGCGTGTTTGCGTGCGTGCGTGTGTGTGTGTGTGTGTGTGTGTGTGTGTGTGTGTGTGTGTGTGTGTGTGTGTGTGTGTTTGTGTGTGTGTGTTTGTGTGTTGTGTGTGTGTGTGTGTGTGTGTGTGTGTGTGTGTGTGTGTGTGTGCGCGTGCGTTAGTGTGTGTGTGCACTGTTGTGTTTTTTTAGTACGTGTGTGTGTTAGTATGAGTGCGCGCGTGCGCGTGCGCGCGCGTATGTGTGTGTGAGTGCGTGTGTTAACTGTTGCTCTTGTGTGTGTGGTGTGTGGTGTGTTTGTGGGTTGTGCGTGTGTTTGCTTTTGTGTGTGGGTAGGAGTGTGTGAGTGTGTGCGTGCGTGTGTCCACTATTGTTTTGTATTTGTGTGTGTGTGTGTGTGTGTGTGTGTGTGTGTGTGTGTTGTATGTGCTTATGCGTGTATGTGTGTCCGTTTGTGTGGGCGCAGGTGTGTGAGTGTATGTGCGGGAGTGTGTGTGTGCGAGCGCGCGCGTATATATATGTGTGTGCGCGCGTGTGTTTGTATGTGTGTGTGGACGTGTGTGTGTGTGTGTGTGTGTGTTTAGATGTGCATGTGTGTGTGTGTGTGTGTATGTATGTGAGTGCGCGAGAGCGGGCGTGTGTGTATGCGCGTGCGTCTGTGTGTGTTGATTCTGGAAATAAAGTTGTCAACAAATTGATTTTGCAATAGAAGTTAAGCATGCTGTATGGCAAGTTGCGCCGACTTGTTGGCATCAAATGTCATCGATGTTTAGCTGATAAATTTTTGGAAACATAAAATCAGTCAGCATGGCTTGATAGCGCTCGCAATTCACCGTGACGGTAGCTCCTTCCTCATTTCAAAAGAAAAAGTGTGCCGCCAGCGTGTAAACCGCACCAAACAGTCAATTTTAATGGATGTAATGGTTATTCGTTAATGGATGAGAATTGTATTCTCTCCATATACGGCAATTTGGCTTATTTACGAAGCCATTTAACCAGAAATGAGCTTCATTACTAAACACACACACACACACACACACACGCACACACACACACACGCACACACACACACACACACATCACACACACACGCACGCACGCACGCACGCACACACACGCACACACGCACACACGCACGCACGCACTCACGCACGCACGCACGCACGCACGCACGCACACAAAAAAACACAACAGTGCACACACGCACACATACACTCACGCACACGCGCACGCACATGCGTTCACATGAACATACATGAACGCACATACACCCACACGCAGGCGCACACACAAATTCGCATAAAACACACACACACACACACGCACACACACACACACACACACTCGAGTGACAAATTAATTTGTAATAAAGTACTATCCATCAAATTCTAATTTATCTATGACAAATGAATAAAATAACATAAATTCACTCACACGATAACAAAAACTCGAACAAACGTCTTTCCACAATAAAACCTGCCAAAGTTTGATCCACAAAATCAGCAGATAACATATTTTCTTACCTTATTACTATATCGAAGTAGCCCACTGGGTTCTCTGTCACACACAGAACGCGACGTTGCCGCTTCGTGTTCGAGTACTTATTCGTCAATTATGGCTCCGGATACACTTAGTCTAAGTAAATGTCGCATATAAATTAAATATACTCTGGATTTAAAAAATCATATTCAGTATGATTTTTTCGACCGTTGATAGATCAACAAATGTTGGTCAAATCGCTGACGAGTATATTGAAATCCTGTTAGTGCAGATCCACGGACGTCACACGAGCATCAAGAATGAATCAAAGTATATCAGTTTGGGCGACGAGGAGCTGAGCAAACACGTCAAATAGGTGGATCAACAATTGTTCTAACTTCTCACTGGATCAACATTTACCGTGAAGGGATGATTATATATATATATATATATATATATATATATATATATATATATATATCAGCCCACTTGATGGTAAGTGGTTGCTGT